ATTAAGTTGATATATATATATATATATATATATATATTTACGGGTGAGATGAGGTCTTCGATCCAGTGAAATTAAGAAGAGCCGAAGTGAAATCGTTCTCAATTTATCAAAATAACACGAGAGAACGAACTCTCTTGGAGTCGAGCTACGGCTGAGAAGAAGAAAACGTAATTACAATATCAATAACACGTTGAACAATGGTGTGCTTAACAGCTTAAGGAAGAAGAGATGAGCATATGTATGTATTTTATTAAAGAAAAGGTTACGTTGTTCATAACTTTACAAAAATAAAAAAATGGAAAATTCGATAATACAAAAAAAGGAAAATCATTTTTTTGAAAAATAGAAGTTGATAACAATAGATAAGAAAACTTTTAACTTTTACCGTTATTAAGTTATAATTACTTTCTACTTTTTATTTACCGGAGTATTCACCGTAGATTGGCCCATGTCGCATTGATCCATATCTAAAACTTGATCCAATTGCTATCGTGCGCACAAGTCACCGCCGTTCACGTTAAGACTCCAAACCCTTCGCACGTAAACCTCTCTCTCTGTGCCTATCTCTGTCATCCCATCAGCTCTCACCTCCGACACTCTCTCTCACTCGCGGGGAATATTTTGACTCAATAGTTTCACTCGTCCAGCTTTCTAATTGAATCGATTTTGCACGAGTAACCTTTTCGGGAGGCTCCTTTAATATAATCATCACGATTCAGAATGGGAATTCAATTCGTTGACAAGGCAGATCTATGGAAGAGTGCACTTATGTTGAACCTTAAGCTCCGTGATCGATTTCGAATCGCCGTCGACGATCATCATGGTCGAGCGGCGGTTTTCTCACCTGATGGTTACTTCTCTTCCACTATCCACCGCTGGGTGACTCGATTCCGGGACTTTCGCCGGGAATCTCTCCCTTCTCCCCCCGCTTTCTATCGCAGACGAGGTTTTGAATCATCTCTTTTTTGTTAACTCTATAGTAGATCTCTGTCTTATGCATATCTGGGTTTTGGTAATCTGATGCTTAGCTTTTATCTCGTTTAATTCATATGTTAATTTTAGTGATCTCAATGAAATATGGCTGGTTTGTTCGAATTGTTATGATTATAAATCGGGTCTTCTTGTAGATGAGCACAAAGTCATTACTTGTTTAAGGTAAATTAGCCTCATGACGCAATTATTTTTGAATGTCACGTAATTTTTGGGTTACAAGTTTTAAGCTACTTCATTGATTCTGTGGATTATCTTTCTTTGCTACCGTGTTATTTGGTTATGCCTATCTTGGATTGTGGGATTTTGTTAGAAAAAATCTCTTTGTTATTGCAGTTTCTAAAGATTTGACGGCAGAAGAAGAGTCTGCACTTTTCCGGATGCTTCAAGCTGTGGCTATTCCCCTAATTGGAAATGCTTGTCATGTTTTTATGAATGGTTTCAACCGTGTTCAGGTTTGACATCTTATATTAGTGATTCTTAAGTTTCGTTCTATCTTCTGTCGTGTTCCCAGTTTTATTGTTTTTTTTTTTACCGTTTTAGGTGTATGGTTTAGAGAAATTGCATGATGCTTTACTCAACAGACCGAAGAACAAGCCTCTTGTAACGGTATGAGTTGACTTATTTTCTGATATGTTGTTGGGTTTTTAGATTAATCTAATTCTATTCTGACCCATTAATTTCCAAAACCATCTTCAGGTTAGCAATCATGTTGCATCTGTGGATGATCCATTTGTGCTTGCTTCGCTACTTCCGCCTAAACTTCTACTTGATGCCCGTAATTTGAGGTGGACGCTTTGTGCGACAGATAGATGCTTTAAAAACCCTGTTACTTCTGCTTTCTTTCGTTCTGTCAAAGTTTTGCCAGTTTCTCGTGGTGATGGAATTTATCAGAAGGTAACATAGGCTTTTTTTCTGTGGGCTAGCTTTTCTTGATTTTTACTTGCTTTTCTATCTGACTTCAAATATACTGATGGAAACAAGTGTCATATATTCTGCAGGGAATGGACATTGCGATTTCAAAATTAAACAATGGAGGATGGGTTCACATCTTTCCAGAAGGCAGTCGCTCCCGGGATGGTGGAAAGACTATGGGCTCAGCGAAGAGGGGTATCGGAAGGTGAGTCATGTGTGCTTTGAGTGCACTTCCCTTATATGAAGCACTCCACTTTAATGTGTGTTTTCATTTTATTCTTTAACAACGAGCTAAATATTGTAATTTACTCCGTTTTAGGTTGATTTTGGACGCAGATACTCTCCCTATGGTTGTTCCATTTGTTCATACTGGTATGCAGGATATAATGCCAGTTGGAGCCAGTGTTCCACGGATTGGCAAGACAGTGAGTATCTCTAAATCTCCAAAAAAAAAATTTCCTCCTCATTTATGGGCTTCGATCTCTTAATAGTTTGATGCATCACGATTTCTGTTCTCCCGAAATTAGAAAACCAATAACAAACCATAACTTTCAGAGGAGTTGCCTCGATTAAAGTGTGTTGCTTTGTTTGATTCACAAGCCTGGATACCCATCTAAGACCCCTCATTAACTTTCCTGGCCTTGATTTTTAGTGATCCATCGACATCAAATTAATGCTTGGATCTGTCAATAATTGGGGTTTCATATCTTGATTAAGTGCAAATGTATTGTCCGTGAAAGGGTATATAAAGTTCAAAATGTCAGACAGTATGTGTAGTGCTATCAATCTGTCATCAGCCATTAGGTTATAATATTGCTTATTGTATTTGCAACTTTAATTATAAGTTAACCTAATCATTTTGCAGGTGACAGTGATCATTGGAGACCCTATTCACTTTAATGATATTCTCGGCACTGAAGGAGCCAAACACGTCTCGAGGAAACACTTGTATGATGCAGTCTCTTCCAGGATTGGACAAAGGCTGTACGATTTAAAAGCACAAGTCGATAGAGTATCTCTAGAACAGCAAACTATGATGTCACACGATGCCAAAACATCCTCGGACCGTGCTGCTGAGATCTTACATAGAGTCGATTGGGACTCGTTTGGGATGGGAGCACAGTTCTCAGGAGAATCATCAGTCAGTTGTAAACAGATTGCTCAAAACGATTATCGCATTGTTGGATCTCCCAAAAAGGGAGTCTCATCTGAAGGAGGGATCAGCTCGAAGATTAAGAAGTTCATGGACTCTACTGAGATGATGGGTTTTGCGGCTAGAGAATTGTTTATGAACGAGTACAAGAGTCGGGGTGAATCTGCCAAATCCGGCCTTTAAAGGCATGGAAAGAGTATTTGGAAGTGAATTTTATGAACCGCGGATTAGAACAACACACACACACTTGCTAGTTAAACTCGCGTTAGGAATTTTAGTTTAGTAACGAAGCTTCTGTGCAACAACAAATGTTCATGTGTTGTTTAGAATTAGATATTTTGTTTCATTTCACAGAAACTCTTACCTCGCTGTTGTAAATTAGCTTTAGTAAATTACAAGTTTTTCGAACACAGTCACACAGATCACACAACAATACTACTACACTTCAAACATATTTGGTGCGGTTTTGCTTGAGATATCTGAAGATGGGATCATTGCAAGAAACGACGCCGCTCCTTTAGTAAGAATGAGACAACGTGGCAGATGATTATTATAATCGAACGGTCAGGATCTAATCTTGATCTCACAGATAAAAGCGTTAAGTCAGTGCAATGACGAATGTAACCCTTCAGATTATCGACGGCGACAATTTCACTTTCTCGCTCCGGCTTACTTGATTCCTAGAGAAAGATAGCGAGAGCTATGGCGGATGAAGAAGACGAGTTACCGGAGGAGACAGAACTAAGTTACGACCAGAAGAAGGAAATCGCCAAGTGGTTTCTCCTTAATGCTCCCGCTGGAGAAATCAATTACGTTGCCAAAGGTACTTATAGATGCATCATACATTTATATTTACGTCTGATGTGGCTCTGTTTTGTGGAAGGTGGAATTGTATATTCTCCCTCTTTATTATTATGTTGAGGATCAATGTGCGTGATTTGACATTTTCGTTTCAATTTCTGGAAATATATTTTGGATTTCCGACAGATTTAAAGGCGGTATTGAGCGACGAGGAAGTCTATAACGAAGCAGCCATGGAAGCATTCCCAGTCTACAACAAGTCTCATATGATTTGCCTTGAAATGCCCACTGGGGCTGGTGATGTGAGTTAACAAACGAAATTTATCTTCAGAGCCTTAGTTGTACTCGCTTCTGGTTTTATTCTTAAGCTAATTGGATCAGCTTGGCAAATACGAGTTGAATTCTCAAACGTAATTGACTTGTGATCTCAGTTCTCTCTGTGAAAATATTACTGATAACAAATACTTTTAGGATCACTAAGAAGGAGATAAGTCAAGTAGATATTGTGATATTCGCTCTCTTTTGTGTCTATTCATTTGAAGAAACTAGAGATAAGTGATATTAGAAATAAGTTCTTTGGAAATCGTGTAGGAGTCCTAAAATCTTGTTGTTTGAGTTGAGAAAGTTTGAGCTTTGAGTGCTTTGCCGTGTGTCTTTTTCCTTTGATGATTTTCATCAACTTGCGACTTAAATCTTGCATCTCCATTTCATGTTCATTGAAAATGTTTTGGGAATACCATTTAGTGTTTATTCACTGCAAGGTTTAGTAATACTGTTTTGTTGCGTCTCAGGTGATAATTTCATCTTACAGTGAAATTACTGAAAATGAGTACCTTGATCCAAGAACTGCCCAGGTTGCCATAGTTGATCATGTCAAACAGGTATATTAGTTTTATTGTAGTTGTTCGTCATTATGGTGTGTCATGTTCTGTGAGTTCAAGTCAAGCTTACATCTCCTTTCTTTGACTAGATTTGTACAAAGGTACGGCCTGCAAATGATGAAGAACTTCCGTCTTTGTATATTGAGGAGTACAGGTATGATTTCTACACCCAGTTGTAGGATTTAAGATTAGGTTAATGCATCACCATTCACTTCGGAATGCTCATGTAGTGGTAGTTTAAATGCTAATGGCAATAAAGGCAAACATCAGAAAAGCATTTTCAACAGTTTAAAAAATAAAGGGCAATAAACCTGGAGTGATCTGCATATTTTTGTCTTACCGCTGAAAATATACATGTTGAAAAGGATGTTTTGCTCATTACAGATATGCTCTTGATGCTGAAATCCAGAGATATGTTAGTGAATCTTATCCGAAAGGTATGTCTGCGGTTAATTGTGTGAAAGGGAAAGATACAGAGGGTCCAGGATCCAACTTTGAGTTTGTTGTTATAATTACTGCCATGAGACTGAGTCCCCAGAACTTCTGGTGAGTACAAAATGACCTTCTACTTATTCTCAATTTCTATTATTCAGATGGATAATAATATTGTGTGACTAAATCAGGAGTGTTTTGCAGTAATGGAAGTTGGAGATCTGTATGGAACATCGACTTCCAGGATGAATCCCAAGTGCTTGACATAAAAGGGAAATTACAGGTAACATCCGACACTCGTTTTCTTTGTAAGCTGGCTTTAACGCCATTCAAAGTCAATGGAAGTTCAGTGAGCTTATTCTAAGTATATCCCCTTCCCTTCAGGTAGGAGCTCATTATTTTGAAGAGGGCAATGTGGAGTTAGATGCAAAAAAAGATTTCCAAGATTCAACAATATTTCAGGTACCGTACATCAAATATCCACATACTTGACCAAATCCATTTTATCTGCGAAATCTCGTAGAATAATCTTACTAGAAGCCAGGCCAGGCATTAAATATACACCAAGAGAACAAACACGTGTAGACTCTGATATAACCGTGACGCTGATTTCTTCTTCCATTTACAGTCTGCGGATGACTGCGCGATTGCCATTGCCAATATTATCAGGCACCATGAAACAGAGTACCTTGCAGCTCTAGAGGTTCCCAAATAGCAACTCATTATGTTTTTTCTTTTTTCCCATTTCCTGTGTTATTAATCTTGTTGTATCTGACCCAATGATCAGGTAGCTTATTCTAAATTACCGGATAACACTTTCAAGGTAATCGTCTCTTCCAAATAACGATTTCAGTTGCTGCAACTTACACCGAGAAACTCCGCTCGATGGGAACCTCTTAGTTGTATTGACAAAATTCTGAGTTGAATTTGGAACTTTGCAGGATTTGAGGAGGAAACTTCCGGTGACACGAACACTGTTCCCATGGCAGAACACTTTACAGTTCAGCCTAACAAGAGAGGTCGAGAAAGAACTTGGACTTGGCAAGTGACTTATTATCAACTCGCAACCTCCAGTTCTTTGTTTCGTTGTCAAGGTTCTTTGTAATTTCCATTATGTAAGTGAAGGAAAAAGTATCACTGATAATATTTCTGTTGTGTGGTGTCTCTATTTTCATGGCTTTTCCTTTAGTAATGTACAAACCGCATGCAAGTGTTGAAAAAAATAGTATTATCATCGATATTGTTTGGTGTCTTTGTTCCACAATTGAAAAATTTGAGGTGGAAAATGAAAAAAATCTCCGTTGCCGGGAATCGAACCCGGGTCTCCTGGGTGAAAGCCAGATATCCTAACCGCTGGACGACAACGGATATGATGTTAGAATAGTTAAAATATTCTGAAAGTACATAGTCAGAGAGTTAGCATTCGAGAGGATGAGGAAGACTCTAGTCTCGTCGGAGGTTTTACCATATGCATTTCTTTGAAGACAAGTTTTCCTAAGATTTTTTTTCTTTTTAATAGCTAAATAATTTATTTGGTTATTTATTTTCACTCGGCTTCTCCCCTTTTTCTCATAGTTGCTCCTCTGAAACCCCTAACACTTCCTCTTCTCGGCGATCTCTGTCCCTCCCTCTCCGATTTGGGTATTGTAATGGCAACTCCTATGGTTGAAGACACGACAAGCTTCGAAGAGGATCAGCTCGCCTCCATGTCCACTGAAGATATCACCAGAGCTACTCGTCTCCTTGACAACGAGATTCGAATTCTCAAGGTTCGTTCGCCCAATCTCTCTCTCTCTCTCTCTCTCGATCTCCCTTTGCTTCGTAACTATATGATTGTTTTTATGATCCATGATTGCTTCAAATTCGAGCACAGTCAGGCTGCAATCTGATTTTGATTTATCGCAGTTATGGAGTTAGGGTTTGAGTTTAGTGTAATCTATGGAAGCAGGAGATGTACTAGACTTTTAATTTGATGCCCCTTCTTGTGATTTCTTGGTGTGTATTACCTCAACTTTTTGGATTTTCAACACAACTGAGATTGATTGAACCTTCCTAGTTGCAAATTCGATTTCTGATTCAATTTCGGTCTTCGATCTTACTTCGGTTCTGGTTTTAAGGACTTGTCATGGCATAATATGATGGCTGTTGAAATTGCTGACCTTGTGTTTTTCTTCAATGGGGATTCAGGAAGATGCACAAAGAACAAATCTAGAATGCGATTCTTACAAGGAGAAGATAAAGGAGAACCAAGAGAAGATTAAACTCAACAAGCAGCTCCCTTACTTGGTTGGCAACATTGTGGAGGTATGAAACAAGTTTTTTTATCTTGTTTGTTTATAATTTTTAGGACTTTCCTTATAGAGTTTTACCTATGGAAGATTGTTCGTTATGTTATGATCTGTAATTTTTGTTATTAGTACCATTTTTTGCTTGGATTTGAAGTGTTAACTATTTTAATATCGTATTATGCTATTAGATTTTGGAGATGAATCCCGAGGATGATGCTGAGGAAGATGGTGCAAATATTGATCTTGACTCGCAACGGAAGGGCAAGTGTGTTGTGTTGAAAACGTCTACACGACAGGTGAGACTTCCAAAACCCTTCTCTAGATATCTTCTCTACATCTTCTATTCTGTTCCCCGTAACATGTCTGAGCAATTCTGTTTGTTTCTTGATGTGGATTGTGGAGTGCAGACCATCTTTCTACCAGTTGTTGGGCTTGTTGATCCTGATAGTTTGAAACCTGGTGACCTGGTTGGAGTTAATAAAGATAGCTACTTGATTTTGGATACCTTGCCATCTGAGTATGACTCTAGGGTTAAAGCCATGGAGGTCGATGAAAAACCAACTGAAGATTACAATGACATTGGAGGACTGGAGAAGCAGGCAAGTATACTCATGTGTTTGTCAGGCAAATTTGGTTTCCTTGAGCATGTTGCATATTTATTCTAATTGAGTTAAGCTCTGGAACAGATCCAAGAGCTTGTAGAGGCAATTGTGCTTCCCATGACGCACAAGGAACGTTTTGAGAAGCTGGGTGTACGCCCACCAAAGGGAGTGCTTTTGTATGGTCCTCCAGGGACTGGTAAAACTTTAATGGCTCGTGCCTGCGCAGCACAGACCAATGCCACCTTCCTTAAATTGGCAGGCCCTCAATTGGTCCAGGTATACATGAGTGTGACATTTAGTTCTCATCTCCTTAGAATTATTTACCCTGTCTGGATATAAGATTGTAGTGTGAGTCGTCTGACAACAATAAATTCATATGTCCACGGACAATGTTACTTGATTGTAATGAATTTATGAGATATATCCTTGTATATACAGATGTTCATTGGAGACGGAGCAAAGCTTGTCCGTGATGCCTTTCAACTTGCCAAAGAGAAGGCTCCATGCATTATCTTCATAGATGAAATCGATGCCATTGGTACAAAGCGTTTTGACAGGTACAGATCTTTTGCTGACTCTAGTTAATCTATTTCCCGCACTTCTCCTGCTGTTTACTAAATCCACATTCTTTGGCTGAGTGTACAGTGAAGTCAGTGGAGACAGGGAAGTGCAGAGAACTATGTTGGAGTTGCTTAACCAACTTGATGGTTTCAGTAGTGATGAACGTATTAAGGTGAGAGTCTTTATCCATTCTAGGCACTAATCATACTTCCTTTTGAGTCCTCTCCCACATTAACAACCATACCTCTCAATTTTTCAGGTTATTGCAGCCACTAACCGTGCAGATATTCTGGACCCAGCGCTCATGCGTTCTGGTCGACTAGACAGAAAGATAGAGTTCCCACACCCAACAGAAGAAGCAAGAGCCAGGATCTTGCAGGTTTGTCCCTCCCATATATTTAAACATGACCCTCGATAAGTAAAAGGTTCACATAACCCTTCTATATAAATCCAGATTCACTCGAGGAAGATGAATGTCCACCCAGACGTCAACTTTGAGGAGCTTGCAAGATCAACAGATGATTTCAATGGAGCTCAGCTGAAAGCAGTGTGTGTAGAGGCTGGAATGTTAGCTCTTCGCCGTGATGCCACAGAGGTAAAGAAGATACAGAACCCTTAATGGATTTAAGCTTTAAGATTGGACTTTGGTCTTAAAGATTGGTTCCCTGTTATTGTTGTGTTGTCTGTGTTCAGGTAAACCATGAGGACTTTAATGAAGGTATCATCCAAGTCCAGGCCAAGAAGAAAGCAAGCTTGAACTACTATGCCTGATCCCTCCCATCACTTGTACTTTTCAATGCCCGTTTATCTTTCAACTAGTTTTACTTGTACCCTCGTTCCGATTTGGATCTTTTTAAATTTTTGAATCAGGTTATCTATTATCAAAATACATTAAATTGTGTTCATCTTCTTCTTCTGGAAAAAAAAAAGTTTGAATCTTAATATCTATTGCTTATGCAATGGTTCATGGTTTATTGTAAACTATTGCCATGTCTTTTAAAGAATAATTCAAAAGTATATTGTAATCAGGCAAAAAAATAAGTTCAATATCCGGGAAAATATGAAGAAAATCATTTCCACTAACTGATCAGGCAAAATTTAGAAGCTTCACTAATGGTAAGTGGTAACATACTTAAATATCTTAAAGGTTAATAATCCAAAAGACACCATACAAATCGACCACTAAGAGAAAGTTAAAATTCCAAAACATTTATTTGTAGCTTTGACGAAGAAAATAAAGAGAGGTAACACAATCAGCACTTGATCTCCTTCAAGCCGTAGGCCAAGTAGAGGAAAGTAGGATCGGTGGCTCCTTCTCTGTAGTAAGCAAACACTAAGCTCCCTTGTTCTCCTTCCATGCTCTCTCCCACAAAGCTGTCACATTCGTTAAAAGTAATCACCAATTAGAAGATAAATTAACTAAAAAGACGAAATTGAAGGAAGAAAAAAATGTAAAAGAGAGGGGCATACAATTGGAAGTCTTTGAGCTTTGACATCAAAAATTTGGTGGCACTCTCAATGTGTTTCTTGAACAGCTCTTGCTTTTCCGAGTCTAGCTTAGGGCTTAGTTGCTTTATGTATCTTTTCATGAACATAACAAACTGTTTCTTGTCAAACGATGGTTGCTCCTGCAGAAGAAACCAAGTGTTAGTCTCTCAAATTTACCCTAGTGCTAAGATTGTGTCTAATATTGGTTTCTTGCATGAAAAGAAATGAAGATTAAAAAGGGTCCTTGGAGTTTTACCTGAAGCCTAAAAGTATCGATGATATCAACAACCTTCACAGCTTGATCATCGACTCCCTCTTCTTCACCGCCTTCTTCAGCCGATGGATTCGCACCAATGTCAAAATCCATAGCTCCTTTCACAACCCACTAATGAACAAAATAATTTTTAAAAAAACATAACAGTACATCAATATAACTTCTACCAGCCTTGATAGTTAATGAGAACATCAAAGCTAAGAATAATATATGATACCTTTCCTTCAACTTCCCATAACATGCCGTTCTCGAGTTCCTTGTAAGGAAAGGAATCAGAGAGAAGCTCATCGCCTGTTTCATGAGAGAGAGAGAGAGAGAGAAAAAACATTAGCTTTTAACACAAGCAATAGATATACTTAAATTTACTAGATGCATGAACCAGAACCAGAACCACTATACCAGTAGACATATATATATATATATTAATATATACCTGTAAGAAGATCTTGGTAAACCAACATGTTTGAAGAGAGCTAAAGAGAGAGGTTTATGTGTTGTGGCTTTTTTTTGTCTTTCGGTGATTTGATCAGTAAAAACTTCGATAGCAGGTAGAAAAGAGAAGAAGACTATTTATAGAGTTAACTGATGGAGAGAGGAGTAGTCGTCTTGTTTTCCTTTTCTTTATCGGCTTCTTAATGTCTTTTTTTTCCTATAAGGAAAAGGAATATTTTCTATGTTGAATCAGAGCCGTTCTTTATTTAACTTAATTATATCTTAACCGTTAACAAAAGAAATAGAAAAATAAATAATCTCATTATTAACTTTATTATATCTTAACCGTTAACAAAAGAAATAGAAAAATAAATAATCTCAAAAACATGGAATTTTTTTTTTCTTTTCTTTTCTTTTCAAATAGGTGGTTATCGAGAAGAGCCAACTTTTTGAAAACTTAATAAGTATGTTCCAATATCACCTAAATATAGTAACTGTATTTACACTGTAAAAAAGTAAAGTTAAAGAGCAGAATTGGGAATTGGTAAGGAAACGCTAGGAGGAGGGAGCAGAGAGCTGCAAAAGTCGGCGGGAATAAACACTACACTTTTAGGAAGGGTTGGCATGGCATGTGATGATGGTGCGCACTCAATAATTTCGCTCGGGAACATCGTCACATTAGACTCCCCTCAAAACTTTGACTACTATTCTAAATCCTTTACTTTTTTACTCATATTGTAATTACTTTTTTCATATATGACGTCGACGACACAAACTACAATTTATCGATTTTAACCCCCATTTTTTTTTACTATATAGTAGTATGATTCTCTATTATTATTACACTGAAATCGTTGCAAAAGAGAAACAATTGTAATGTTGTCACAATTGGGATATATCTTTGCTACTAATAGTAGTATCAAACATAATATTGTACTTCAAGGATCTACGCCTATATGGAAAACGAATGTCATGACTTTCTTATACTTACGTCGTCGAAAATTATGTAATGTAATAATGTTTATTATATTAGTATGCTGGTTGCTTAGATATTTTCTTAGTAGTATGTTGTGATTTAGTTTCATTGGCAATTTGTTATCTTACATTGTCATATCCGATATAATCGATTTATATCATTTTAAATCCGAATTAAATCAGAAGACTTTACATAATCTGAAAATTAATCATGTTTATTTTACGTTTTACTAAATTAAAAATAATGAGACTGAAACCCCAAAGTTATTTTAAGAGAGCCAAAAATAAATATGTAAATTACCAATATGGTATTTTCAATTTATGTAAAGTTTATTATTATTTATATATCCAAAGAATTGTTTTTAAAGAAAAAGGAAAAAAGAAAAAAAAAAGAAAAAAAAGAAAAAAAAGAAAAAAAGGAAATTAGCTAGGGGAAGCAGCTGATTTAAATAAAAAAAAGTTTGACAAATCCATAAGAATAAATCAGAACCGTCCATTGTAGTCTTTGGACAGCGGTCATTGCTTCTACCCGTAACCCAATCTTTCTCACACAAAACATAACGCAATCGAGAGAGCAAACCAAAAAAAACTCAAAAAAAAAATCAGAGAGCCAACTTTTTCTTTCTTCTGGGTTCTCTTCTCTGGTGGTGACGTCGAAGAGACTTCACAGATTCATAGGGTCATATATAATTGTTCTGGTAAACCAATCGAGAATAATCGAAACCAAACCTTAAGGAATTGGGGAGAGTTGTCTTTTTTTTTTGGGTTCGAATTTTGTGGTTGATTCAAAAGAAAGAACAAAAAAAAAAAAGGGTTTTGAGATTTGGGTTGTTTTTGATTTGGATTTTGGTTATGGGTTTAGGCAATAAGGGTAACAAATTCAGTTTCGGCGAGACTGATCTCGCCGACGAAGGTAGTGGTGCCGATGGCGATTCTCGCGACGAAGGTGATGGTTTTGGTTCGGTTTCCTGTTCGATTTGTCTCGAGCCGGTTGTTAAAAACGGCGATCGAGCCTGGGCTAATCTTCAATGTGACCATCAGTTCCATCTAGGTAAGTTTTTGTGGATTTTTTAAACGATGGGCTATATATATGCCCTCTCTTTATTTTTCTTCTGATTTGATTGAATTTCTTCTTTATTGTTTGAAATAGAATTTGCTTCAGATTCTGATTTGAATCATCCAGATCTACGTTCGTGTTGATTCGATTCGTTGATTATGGACCTTTTTGTGCCTACCATTGTTTTTGTGTTGTGGCTCTTTTTTCTTATAAAGATGATGATTGGGTATTGAGCTCTGAAGCTAATCGATTCATGCTTGATATTGTTTTGATCTGGTCGAATTTTTATTATTATATGAGGTTACGGATATATCATCTATTATGATTCGATCACTATTTCATTGCAACTGCCAAGTTTCTTAGATTGATCTCTCCACCTTGTTTGATGCATGTATTAGCTCAGAATCTCATAAGTTTCGTGCCATTTGTGTTTCATTAGTACATGCATTGTCTGCTCTTGATTTATATTGTCTAGTAGGGAATCATTAGCTCGCAAGTGCATATGAGTCTTTTTTGTCTTAATCTTTGCTCTATGTATGCCAATCTTGGGTGTCTGTGTGTTTGTATTTATAACCCAACCAAGCTCTCCTCAGAATAGGAATTATCTATATTAATCAATGCATGAGAGCTTTCTTTATGATGTTTGAGATATTGTCCATTATGTAGTGGTATCAAATGCTTTTACGTTTGGTTTCCCGTGATTTTCGCAAAACTTTCTAACTCCACATCTGTTTTTTTTTTTTTTTTTAAGACTGTATTGGTTCAGCGTTCAATGCAAAGGGAGTGATGCAATGCCCCAACTGTCGGAAAGTAGAAAAAGGCCAGTGGCTTTATGCAAACGGTTGCCGTTCATATCCTGAATTCAGTGTCGAGGATTGGGTTCATGAAGAAGATATTTACGATATTGGAGCATACTCTGAATTGGTAAGAAACTGGTAGCCCGATCCATCTCAAATTCCATTGCGCTTCTCCATTTCTTTTAACTTCTTTGCCTTATGTGCTGAGTTTTTATTATCAAAAGATTGCCATTCATTTTATTCAATAGCTGGAATTATGTACCATCTTGAAATTAGCTTATGTTTATGTACCTTTGCAGTCTTTCGGAGTTCACTGGTGCCCATTTGGAAGCTCAGCACGTCTTCCTTCTTTTGAGTAAGCAACTTCATAATACCCGTTTAGCTCTGCTACATTTGGCAATTAAAATCTGGCATTCTCTTCCCATCTTTGCTGATGAATCTCTCTTTAATTTTGTAGGGATGGAGAATTTACACCAAGTTCATGTAAGACTACTGTCAGATTGGTTATGTCATTTTTTTTTCCATTATCTTTTACTCACGTTTCTCAACCTATTACTTTCATTGGCATGGTACAGATCACGATCTCTTGGGACAGCAAGGATACTATTCTGAACCAGCAGCGCCAACCGCGGGTCATCCATGTCCATATGTAACCTACTTTGGCCCGGTTCATTCTTCTTCCTCAAGCAGCGGTGGTACTGCAGGTGTTTCAGACAGTTCAAGTTTCAGTAGTCACTGGAACTCAGGCTCTTCGGTTTCTGGTGAAGTTCCAACTCCTTATGGTTTCCCTGTGGATCCCCACTATCACGGCTGGGAATATCACCCGCCTCCACCCCCACCACCACAGCATTTCTCTGCTTCTGGCGCTCACGTGGGCAGTCCAACTCAACCCACTCCTCCACCAGCTGCTGCGAGAACTTCCAGAGCCAACGGCTCAGATGTAATCAGACCCAGACCGCCACATTTCATGCGTCCATTTCATGGTCACAATCACAGGTAACATTTTCTGTCTTGGCTTAGGTATATCACTAATGATCATAAAAGATAACTTTAATTACAAACGAGAATTTCTTCAGAACATCTATAACTTAAAGAAACTACAGTGCTAACAGAATTCTACGTTCGGTTTTTTAAAGATATCTCAAAATTAAATTACGGAAGTGTTATATTTAACTCTTTACAATTGTTTGCACCGATTGGTTACACCATTCTAGAATCTGGGAGATATATTAATTTTGTGGAATAGAGTGGTGGCATGAACTAAGTAAGAACAACTTTACTTTCTAGAAAACTTGTGCATTGGCATATTTTGTTTGCTTTTTAGTCACTAATCTTGGAAAAAAAAGATTCATGAACAATTCTGCAAATAAACTGTGATTGGAAAAAACCTGTTATTTCGTGATTCCACAGGTTTACCAATAATACCTTTTATTATCTATCATATATATTCTTTCTTGTATCTAATGGCTGGTTTGTGCAGTTCCAGCGGTAGAGCGGGTAGTTCGGTGGCATCTGTTCCGAGGACACCGCCATTTCCAGGAAGCAACGCGAGGACGCGAGACAGAATGCAAGCTCTTCAAGCCTATTACCAACAGTCTTCTGCACAGTCACACCAGCAGGATTCACCTATAGTATCTCGAGGGCCTGTATTCCCATCTGGCCGGAGGCCTGCTAGAGGAATAGCTTCCGGGATGGGATCAACATCATCTTCTTCGGATCAGGCAGGTGGGAGCGGTTTTATCCGGTTTAATATATGGGAGAGAGATCCTTATATGCAATCGCAACAAGCCTACTCAGTTAATCAGATGGACAGAGAACCAAACATGTGGACATCATCGTTCAACGAAGGATCTGGAAGCTTCCATCAGAGGCACGGTGGCGGAGGAGGATCATCATAAGAATATGAGTAAGTACCCGTCAGAGATTCTCACCGGCGGGCAATTCTCATGAACGTTGGACAAAACCAAAAAGAGAAAGAAAAAAAACATTGGGAATTTGATATTTGAGAAAACCTGAAAACTGCATGCTCAAGTTATGTGATGAATTGATAATCTAAAAACACAAAAATGGTATGTAATGGTTTGGAGAGAGACAGCCTCCCCCCTCCCGTTGGTGGTGACCGTGCGGGTTCGAGCCGGTTTTGGTCTGGTTTGGATCGGGGGAGCAAAAGAGGTCGTTGTTTGGGTATTTGTTTTTAAATGTGGCTACAATGGGTATCGAAGTTAAATACCCTAATGAAACTTTTTTCCTCTGGGATAATGTTAATTATAAATCTTTGAGTTTTTTCTTTGTTCTCTCTGCTGCCTATCACAAAAATTCAATTGGTTTAATTTTCTTCTTTTTTGTTTATAATATACAAATGAAAACTATGGTCAGCTTACAAAGACTAATAGACTATAGTCTATGTGTGACAGCAAAATAGAATATTCTAGGCCACACTGTATACTTGTGTATGAACTTATAATATTTTAAGCATGTCTCTAATTTGTTGTGGCACCTTTCATATACAGTTACAGGCGTATACTATTCTATTAACTCGGCCTAAAGTAAATGTTCAATTTTTTAAAATTTGAAAAGAAAAAAAAAAAAAGGCTGAGAACTTTGCTTGGACCTCACCACCCTCCGTTCTTATATTTACCCGCATAGCCTCTCTCCTCTCAGTTTTCGTTTAGCCTCCAAATATTACCAAAGCAATGGCGGAATCAAAGACCAAACTCGAAGAAATCAGAAAATGGGTCTCTGATCACAAGCTCCGTACCGTCGGTAAATGTCCTTTTGTTTCTTCTGTGAATTCATCATCTGTGAATTCATCATCTGAACAATTTTTTTCCATTTGATGAGTCGTTTTATCCACTTTGTTTTTTTTGTGATTATGGATCTAGATTTCATTGTGATTCTTTGTTTGTATAGAGTAGGAATTGATTAGCGTTTTGCGGTCTCTGTTATATGGCTAGTTCTCTTCTTTCTGTAGGTTTATGTTCCTGTCTTGATTAAATGAGACCCTCAATTCTTGTTCTTCTGTGACATGCAAAGATAAAGAGAGAATTGCAAATTCCATCTACCTTTGTTGTTCTTTATGCTAACTCTGAAAATCTGGAATTGTTTTTGATTTGACCCTTGCATAGGTTGTTTATGGCTCAGTGGTATTACCGGTTCTATCGCCTATAACTGGTCTCAACCTGCCATGAAAACCAGTGTCAAGATCATCCACGCCAGGTTACCTTTCCTTTTGTTTTGATTCCTCCAAGTTATGATTTCTGTTGGGGACATTTTGATTCCTTAGCCATGAACATTGTTGGTTGAGCAATATACGGCAGGCACCATGGCTATGTCTCAAGAGCACTTTAAAAAACCCTCTTTCCCTTTTCTGTGGCTTTGAGCTATAGTTTTCATCTCTTGCTGCATTCTGCTTGTCTGTTTGCTTTGAAAATTTGATCTATTAGGAAAGCATCAAATTGATCTTATTTTTCTTCATTTTGTTCACCAGGTAAACATATAATGCTCATTTAGAATCTTCATATCTTACCTTAATCATATATTTCATGTTCCCACAACAAATTCACAGTCTTCCATACAAATCCGGGAACTCTGATGTCGATCATAGATATGTGTTTTTGCCATTAACATATGAAAGAATGCTACAGATGATGATGGATGTAGTAGGAGATTATCATAATGTATCACGACTTTTAATACTACAACTTTCTTCTTACTTGGTTACATTTTCACCGCATTTTCATTCTTCTCAGGTTGCACGCTCAGGCGCTGACTTTAGCTGCTTTGGCTGGAGCAGCCGTGGTGGAGTACTATGACCACAAAACTGAAGCTACCAACCGCTATCCGAAATTTCTCCCCCCTGAAAACATATCTCACAAAGACTAAACTCTGAACCTCTAACATGCAATGGTGGTCACTGCGTATTCTGTTTGCTACTACACGACATGTAGCTAGAGAGATTTTTTGTAAACCTTTCAGCTAAAACTTTCATGTATTCTTTAAAAACAATTTGCTTATCATTTTATCATTCTTTGATACTTTCAGAGATATTATTCTGTGCTGCATATTGCACACCAGATACAGATTTGTAAGAGATAACGTACTGAAAGGAATAAAATTCATGATTAAATTTACCAACTAGCATTTTGGTGGTGAGTGGTGACTTAACAAGCAAAAATATCAATGGTTTGCTTACTAATTTGGAGTTTTTATTTAAAATAAGAAGTTTTGGGGTTATAGTGAGATATAAGAAAAACTTGGGGGAGGTGGGGGTTATTTATAAAAATATAAATTAGGGTTACAAGAACACTTTAAAATGGGAAAAACCCTAGCCGTTTGCTTCATTCTCCTCAGAGATAAAAAGACGCCGTTCGTCTCTTCAGAGAGTTTCACCTTCTAGGGTTTGTTTCAAGGTACACTGATACTATCTCTCTTCAATTTCTAGTATATATTCGATAGGGCTTGTCTCCCGAGGTGTGAAGATTGAATAGAAGACTCGATTTTTAGTTTCATTTTCTTTTGGTTTTAGCTTGTATCTCTTTTTAGTCCGTTAAGAGTGTAATTGAGTATGCTAGATAGAAATTTGAATCTAAGAAGTCTCGATTCTCATCTGCGATACAGAGATCTCACTGTCCATTTCTAGGTTTTGAGTTAGTCATAGTAGCTAAAGGTCATGTATGTAGAAAACATAGGATTCTTTTCCTGTAGCTAAACGTAATGTATGTGTGATTAGATTCTTATGGATCGATGTATGGAATTTGCAGAGAAGGGTTGGAAAAATGAGTCGTGGAGCTGCAGCTGTTGCCAAGGGAAAGAAGAAGGGTGTCTCCTTCACCATTGATTGTTCGAAGCCAGTTGATGACAAGATCATGGAGATTGCTTCCCTCGAGAAGTTCCTTCAGGAGAGGATCAAGGTCGGTGGCAAAGCTGGTGCTCTTGGTGATTCAGTCACCATCACCCGTGAGAAGAGCAAGATCACTGTCACTTCAGATGGTCAATTCTCCAAGAGGTATGACAGCTGAACTTGTTGATTTTGCTTTTTTTGTTTCTAGATTTGGGCTTTGTTTGTGATCCTGCGCCAGTCTTCAGACATGGTAGAAAGCTATTGTAGGAACCAAACAGTGTCATACACAAGTAGTGAGAGTGTTGTTTGGGTTCTTTGTTTACTAACTGGCTTTTATGTGTGTTTTTCAGGTATTTGAAGTACTTGACAAAGAAGTACCTCAAGAAGCACAATGTGAGGGATTGGCTCAGAGTGATTGCAGCGAACAAGGACCGTAATCTCTATGAGTTGAGGTACTTCAACATTGCTGAGAACGAGGCAGAGGAGGAAGACTAAAACCCAGTTATCAGTTTGGTTTAGAACTATACTCTATCCCATGTTTTCGTTTTTTGGCTTCTACTCGGTACTGAATACAATTTGTCTTTGCCCTTCTGTCTTTTTTTGTCAGATGTTATTTAGTTCTGTTGAAGTTAACTCTCGTTGGTTATCTTACTTTAAGCTCATATTCATCCTTGTTTAAAAAATTTGGTAAACATGGATTATTCAGTGATTTGTTTATGCGGATTTAGTAAATGACTAATGTTGAAATCACTTTACTTTAAATTTTCTGCTCTTGTACTATTTACACAAGGAATTGTTTTCCTAGCAAAATTGGGAAAATATCTCATAACCATTTCGACTCTGATCAGGATTGTGAATGTCTTTGGCAAAGAGGATGTGAAGTTCGTATTTGTGTATATAATAAACAAAATCCTCGAAAGTATTTTTCTTTGTCTCCAACAATGCTTCTCTTTCCGTGCCACGTTGAAGAGTTGGCAGAGATGGTGCCTTGTGGTGGTAGAAGCGAAGGAGAGGTGATGAACACAGAAGATTATGATAATCCTTCATTGTCTCCAACAAGACCACGTCTTCTTGATCTCTTTCCCTCCCAAAGTGTTGCTCTCGATCTCTTTCCTTGCCGAAGTGTTGTTCTCGATCTCTTTCCTTGCCAAAGTGGAGATTTTGCACGTGTGGTTCCATCTGCCGCAAGAAACGAAAGAAGAGTTGTTAGTCTAGCACACTTCAGAAACATGCCAAGAGAAGAGAGAGATAACGTATCAACAGAATTAACCCTCTCCATAGAGGGAGATATATGGAAAATCAAGAAGACACTCAGCAAGAGCGACGTCGGAATTCAGACACGGCTTCTTATACCAAAGGAATCCGCGAATGAGCATATTCTGAAATACTTGACAGAAGAAGAGATCAAATTAGTTGAAGACGAAGGCAATCGGGGGCTAAAAATCACTTTGTTCGATACTGCAAACAAAAGTACGAATCAGCTGTGTTTGAAGAGATGGAATTCAGCTGGAAGCTATGTATTGAAAAGCAATTGGAACAAGGATTTTGTCGAAGAAAAGGGTCTGGAAGCAGGCAAGCAGATTGAACTCTTTTGGAATCCTTATGCTTCAAGGCTCCACTTTCGCGTGCTCAAGAATTAGAATCAATCTGATTATGGATATCATGGTTTTGGGTTTCTCGTTCTTTTCTTTTGTTTAAAGAGCTTTGTTTAAAGAAAATACACACATCTCATGCTGAGAGTTTTGATTAGTTATCTTAATCTACCAAATTAGGCAATGACTAATTGTCATCTTCAATTTAATTACTGTAATAGATGGGCAGATCGGATCCCATAAACAATGATAAACCAACCAAAAGTAAACCGAACCAAGATCATGTTAGCTTGATTTTCATAAGTTTCTCTAATCCGAAATTGTTGTCTGAAGAGGCAAAAAACTCTCGACTCCTTTAGCCTCAGCTTCCTGCTTCTCTGCAACAGCCTTTGATAATCCAAACATCTGAAAAATCAATCACAAGTAGTTGCTCAGTGATCAAGATCTATTATGTATGTGTTTAGCAAACAAATGAAGGAAGAGAACCTTCTTGATGGTCTTGTTGAAACAATTCTTGTGATCATCCATTGACGCATTGATGAATTCGTCGATGTGATCCTTAACGTCTTCTAGGAAATTGGCATCATCCTTTGCCTTCTTTCTACAAGAAGACATGGCCGGTTTTGGAGGGTTTTCAGCTTGAGCTTTCTGCTGCGTCTCCATTGATGTATATGTCCTTCATCCGAAACATGTAAGCTCTTTAGAATCAAGAATGGAATCAAAAGTAGATAACTTAAAGCTCAGAGCAGAAGAAACAATGAACTAGAAAGGCTTTGATAGTCTAATGAAAGATAAGCTCTTTAATTATTCAGTTCATAAACAAAATTAGATGCAAATCTAAACACTTTCCTGCTAAAAAAAACAATCCTCAAAGGCAAAAACACAAATCCAATTATACAAAAACACACAGGAGATACGTAATTAGGCTATACAGTGGTCCTCTAGCGATTGGATTTACAGTGTAAACTTACTCAGACCATTGAGCACACAACATTGGAATTCAGCAAACATATTCTAAGAAATGACGGCATTAATCGAAGGAATGAGAGATAAAGTATGATATACAGTAATGGTAACACACGGATCAAGACAAGACAAAAGAGTATCCAAAAAAACCGCATAAATCAAGCCAGCAAGAGAGTTAGAGAAAATGAGATTCAAACACAGGAAAACAACGAAAGATCAGAAATTAAGCAAACGGGAGAATCAGGAACACTCACCGACGATGACTAGACTAGCGGCGGCGACGAAAGGGTGTCTGGCTTTGCTTTGGGATCCACTGCTGGCTAATAAAAACGTTGCAATTGGGAGATTATCATATTACCCCTAATGTTCCGCAAAACAGACAACCAGACAAAAGGTTATTTACGGAAACAATTATGAAGTTTCAGTTGTATGCAGCTTTTATTTTGGTTTGTGAATTAAACCGAAATTGAATAAGTAAACCGTATCAGACAGAGACTGTGTCTTCTGCTTTTGGACTCCTCAAGCCTACTAAGAATATGGGCTTTACAAAGCCAAAGCCCACTATCATCAAACCCTCTCTGCTCTGCAACGGTACCAACTCATCTTCGTACAGGTTTGTTTCACAGCACGACAAAAACCTGGCTACTCATGGAGAAGCTACTAAGGATTGCTTGGATTTGTTTGACCTGTTGGAATGTTCAATCTGTCAAGTGTCACCCAGTGGTTGGGATTCAATCAGGACCTCCACGCATATGTGCCTCGATTTGTAGCAGAGTCTTTGAAGCTTGCTCAGATGCTTTACTTTAGTAGTAATGGCAATAATCAGGTAAGGAAGAGACGACCGGTGTTTGTGAAAAACTTAAGATGGAAAACTATCGAGAAATCACAAGTCTTGTTATGTTTTAGGTTATAGTCCCAAGTGGAGCAAAAGAAGATGCCATCTGCGGAAAAGCTTCTAAATGGGAGCCTAACGGCACGGCGTTCTGCTATGCAATGGGTTTCACTGGTCAAACAGCTGTTCATTCGGCACAAGAACCTAGTTACGGAAGCAGTGCAATACTAGAGTCTTTGTCAGAATCTTTTGGTCAGATGATGGTCTCTTTGCAATTATTAGCTGTTGGACTAGTGCTCTTGAACTGGTTTTGCCTCCTGTTCTCTTTCTTTCTCTTTCACATCGTTCAGTTCCCTTTTATTAAGTCTTAGCCGATTGATGTTTAAATCTTGCTTTGGAATTTTATATCTCAGGAGGGGTAAACGGCAGCAGAGGCTAGCTTGAATCCAGAGGGATGCTCAACATGATCGAGAAGGAACAAGAATAGGGAGAAGAGTTTTTCAAAGATGAAAATCTTTTTGAGTTCCTTTAGCATAACAATTTAACCAGTAAAACAAGCTCTGTAAAAAGCATACGCTTACACGTTACTGCTATACTTGGGTAAAAAATAAACCATACAGAAATAATGTACTGGTAAATCAAGGAAATTGGTTTTACGACAGAAGATTCAGAAAAGTAAGAGCCAAACCTTGAAAGTCAAATTCAATATGGAAAACGATTAAGAAATGTGTGAACTTGATGATACAAGATAATTAAAGCAAACGAGGAGAGGCCACCCTAAGTTAAACTGTGTAAGAAAAAAGATAACCGAAAAAAGAAAGACAAAAAGAACAGACCAAAAGGCGATGAGAATCTCCAGAAGCAGAAAAGAGATGTTTCTGCAACTATACACAGAATATGTGGATTAACAACTTTTGTTTTCTCTCTCTCTCTCTTTTGTTTTCTCTACAGATGCTTCTTCTTTGATGACTAAGTAAAGTAGCCTGAGGTTCTCCTCTCCATTGCAGTTTACCTACATCTGAAGAAATGCACAGAGCCTAGCTTGAGCTTGTGAAACCCAATCTCAAGGGAATAAGCTTTATTGACTTTCAAGACTTCCCCATTTTTGGTACCTGATAAGAAAAGAAAAGAAAAATAGAGTGGAACATGTGTCAACTTTTGACTTGAAGTTACCAAAAGAACAAAACTTGTCATGAGACTCAACAAGTTCAAAACGCTTGGTCCTGTTGGATTCTGATTTTAATGTAGCCTAGCTAGCCAATTGCATTGTCAAAAGGAAGGATTTCTTGGTCTTCTAAAACTCATTGGTGGAAACAAACCTTCTTGAGAGGATTACTGCTTGAAGCTGGAGCCGGTTTCAGAATCTCAAAGGAGCAAACGAGAGATTGATCCACGCTCAGTAATGCACCAGCATTGTCAAACTCTCCACCATAGTTTGGGGCTGAAAATATTGTGACTAATCTCCGTTTTGCGAAAAACTCATAACCATCTTCCACTACCTGCATATTTGTCCCTCAGAAGTCAATATATTGAGAGGTTCTCATAAAAGTATCTCAACCCAATGTCAATCACTTCTAAAGAGCAAAAAATTGCAGAATTGTTTCTAAATTTAATCACTAGGGAAGTCAGTTTACCTGATGGCCTCTGCAAATGAGATCGAGATCATTCTTATCCAAAAACTCAGCAACGACATCGGCTCCAAATGTGCAGGAGATACCTCGGTCGCTATCAGTCCATCCTTCATTCTTCTGATCAGGATCAGACCAAAGTAAATCACAAAGAAGACCATTGTCTGGAATCTCTGTAGGCCTTTGAATCTCCCGAATCTGTCCCAAATTTTCCAGTTCGGGTGACAACCCACCATGCATACAAAGGATCTTCTCGTCAATGAGAGCAGCAACGGGCAAACAATTGAAGCAGTCGGTGAATATCTTCCAAAGCCGTACATTAAATCTCCGTTTGCATTCGTCATAGAACCCGTAAATCCTGTTGATCTTAGCATCTTCATGGTTTCCTCTCAAGAGAAATATCTTGGATGGATACCGGATTTTGTAAGCCAAGAGTAAACATATTGTTTCAAGACTTTGCTTGCCTCTATCAACATAATCGCCGAGGAAGAGATAGTTTGCAGAAGGAGGGTAGCCTCCATATTCGAATAGCCTGAGAAGGTCTTGGTACTGTCCATGGATATCTCCTGATTAGAGAGCAAAATGGAAACCATAAGTACCTCAAAGAACAAAGCATCAGCAGATCTAGAACATAACTCAAAAACCTTAGCCTCAATCCATCAAAATTAGAGTCTCTTCTTATTCATAGAAAGCCAGATTGCAGAATTGATTGACACCAGAAAAGTTTACCTAGATGCGTTTCGACATTCACAAAAAAAGAGGAACCCTAATCAACACAAATTTCCCCCAAACAATCTCATCTTACATGCAAAATTAGTCATCTCATTAACCCCAATCGTGGAAAACGACTCAGACCCAAATCATCAAAACCAAAAAGCCACAACATTTATCACCCCCATCCCCACATGAAGAAAGAGAAAAGGAGAGAGAGAGAGAGACCGCAGATGCGAATGGGGGCATGGAGCTCGAGAAGATTGGGCTGAGAAAGGAAGATTTGTCTGGCGTTAACGCAAAGTTGACGGATCTCGATCTCGGAAAGCTGAACCTGTTTCCCTCCTTTACCTTCCAACAATCTCCTTATGATATCATCCAACACACCCATCTCCATCATCCCTTCCATACTCGTCATCATTCTTCCTCTGATCCCAATAGTCACCAGAATCCAAAATAAACACAAAGGGTTTGCGCCGAATCAGGCCAGAAACAATGGGTAAAGGATTTGATTATAGAGACGATCACAAAATCACAAGCTTTTTTGTTTTGTTTTGTTTTGTTTTGTTTGTTCTCTTGGATTTTTCCCGAGAAACGAGAGGTCAAACAAAGGAGGAAGGAAACCAGAATAAATCTTGTTGATTTTAGTCTTTAAAACTTAAGAGGAGGAAAGAAAGTGGATCAAATGGGCAAGATTAGAAAATTACAAATCCCAATTTTGTTTATTTGAGAAAACAAATGGTTCAGATAGCTCCTTCTCTCTTCTATCTTCTCTCTCTTTTTGCTGCCAGAAAATTTTTGGAATTTATAATTTCAGCTCAGAGGTTTTTTTTTTAATTGCTATTTGAATTACATTTTTAGAGAATGAGGTCGGTCAAAAAAATGTAATTAGGCATATAATTAGAATTAGTAATGGAACAAGTTGAGTTTTTAACTAGAGTATAATAATTCGACTAACTTTATATACTAAAATCAATAAATGTAACTTCAAACAAACATTAGTCTTATTATATCAACTAAGAATTATATTTACCAATTTCTAATTTGGTTAAGAATTATAACAATAGCTACATACATACATGATGCAAAATGGATCCAATGAAGTACCAAAAATTGATTGGATTATAAAACAAAGCATTACTGCAAATGATTTGGTTTTGTCCAAAGAAGTTAAAAAAAAAATAAAAAATTCATGATGATAAAGGGAAGTTGTCAAATCTCAAAATACAAAAACAAAAAAAAAAGGAAGAAGAAATGTGATTAGTGAAACCTTCTAAGGCAAGAATATGGGGTAGTGGAACGGACGGTGACGAAAGAGATCCAGCTAAAAAAAACAGGAATGAGAGACGTGTATGATTCTCATTGGAACTAGTCAAAGTAAGACTAGTCTCCTCCTTTACAATTATGTTTTTTTTACATTCATTTTTTGTTCAGGTTAGTTTGGTTGTCGGGCGAGAGAAACCGCGTCTTTTGAAAAGTTCGGTTTTATGGTTACATAAGCACATTTGTACCTCTGTATCTGTATGTGTGTTTACGTGTGTGTGCGCAATACTTAAATGGGTTCCCATCATGTTCCACCATGATAATTAAATAAAAGCAAACATTGTTTACCAACAAAAAAAAGTTTGATACTCTTTTTTTTTTTTTCGGGTCATCAATGGTGAAACTCATTCGAACCTTGATTGATTGCGTAATGCTTATGCTTAATAATGGAGTACTTTGTTTGACAATCATATAAATGGCTACTAATACTTTTATATTGCGTAACTAACTACTCATGTATTCGTTTATCTACATCATAACAAGTATACTACACCTAATTTTCTGGTTTATTTCTTTTCCTAAGCAAAATACTAGACTTTTGTTGTTGTCAATAACAAGACTGCATAAATTATTGTATAACTGTAATCTTTAGTATAACTTATTAATCTTGCAAACGTTACGTATACAACAAAAATGTTCGATAAAATAACATCAGGTTGACATAATAATATAAAGGCTTTTACGAAAGAAAAATAAATAAATTAATTGGGCCTATACAATACGTAATTTTAGGTCCAAACTACTAATGGGCTTCTCATATGATGTGATAATAATAAAGCCCATATTGTAAAGGAAGAAAAAGAACCCTAAAATCAAGTTGGTGGTATAAAAACCCTAGGATCATTATTTTCTCTGTTGAAGGTCGGCTGGTGCAGCACCACATCCCCGGACGACAATGGTACATCTTGCTCTCTCTCTCTCTCTGTCTTTCAATCTCCTTTTCGCTTTGTCCTTCTTCTACTAGTTTTTTCCTGTGTTTTAGTTTGATATAGAAGTTTCAGATGTCATGTTTTTAAGAGATTTAACTAGTGGAATGGGTACTTTTTGTGACACTTGAGTATCAGATTAGAGTGTGAGTGATCATTTCTCTTAGTGTTTTTTATAGATTGAATATTGATTCTGATATTGATTGGTCGTTTTTGCAGGGTATTGATCTGATCGCCGGAGGTAAGAGCAAAAAGACTAAAAGGACAGCTCCAAAGTCCGATGATGTCTACCTCAAGCTTACTGTCAAGGTCTGTAATTTAATCATCAATCTCTATCCTTTGCTCTTTTTCTTTCGTTTTTCAGTTAAAGTTTTTTTTATTTTATTTGGGTAGAGTCGTAATGAATATCCTATTGACGATATTAGGATCTCTGAAAATTTTGCAGCTTTACCGGTTTCTGGTAAGGAGAACTCAGAGCAAGTTCAATGCTGTGATATTGAAGAGGCTATTCATGAGCAAAGTCAACAAGGCTCCTCTTTCTCTATCTAGGCTTGTGGAATTCATGGAGGGCAAGGTTCCATTTCGTTGAAACCCTCTCTTTTTCTCTCTATATTTGTGTTGAATTAAGTATTGGGTCATGATTAGTTTATAGAAACACTGTCTGATTTATGAAACTTAATTGTTTACTGTTAATCCGTACTTAGTCTACAACAGTGATGTGGTTACTGTCCGTTTCAAATTCTCTTATCTAGACCATGTCGTCTATGATTTAAGTTTTGAATGTGCTTTGCTTTCTGGTATTATAGGAAGATAAGATAGCTGTCTTGGTTGGAACTGTCACTGATGATGTGAGGGTACACGAGATTCCAGCCATGAAAGTCACTGCCTTGAGGTTCACAGAGAGAGCAAGAGCTCGCATTGAGAAAGCTGGTGGTGAATGCTTAACCTTTGATCAGCTCGCTCTCAGAGCTCCATTGGGCCAGAACACGGTAATTCTCTTTACCTACCACCCTACCTGCTCTTCTCCATTTTATACTAGGTAATTATTGAATTATGTTTACTTATGGTTGGGTGTTCTTGTGTTATAGATTCTTCTTAGAGGACCTAAGAATTCACGTGAAGCAGTCAAGCATTTCGGTCTGGCTCCTGGTGTGCCACACAGCGACACAAAGCCATATGTTCGGCACAAGGGAAGGAAGTTCGAGAAGGCCAGAGGAAAGAGGAAGAGTCGTGGATTCAAGGTTTAAGAAAGTTGTTGACATCATTGAACTTGATTCTGGAGTATTGTTGCTTCTTGATCGCTTTTGTAATCGGATTTTTGTTAGACAATTCTCTGCTCTTTTTTTTTTTTGCTTTTTTCTTTCATACCTGCTTCTGAAGTTGTTTCTACTGGATTCATTGAGCTTTACTATGTTAAAACATAATTTATGGATCTTTTTTTTTAATGTCGATTGTGGAAATCTACAATTCTTTGTTCGAAGTAAATTTGTCAGATTTGATATAGAATTGGTTCTCAATCAGTGTAGCTACAAAATTCAGTGTGTTTGTTTACACAATTGTCATGGACTTTAAAATTTCCGAACCTTATTCTTAATCTTGTTGAAACAACACACGCAAGAACAAAGATTTATGTAGAGACAGCATACCTGAAGCGGACAAGAACCCTAAAAACTTTTGTTCTTGTTCTGAAGCTTGATGAAGAAGTCATTGATGTGAGCAGTGACCTCTTGAGGTTTCTCTTGGTTGACGGAGTGACCAGCATCTTGAATTACCACAATCTCTTGAAGATTTGGAACATTTGCAGCAAATCCACCACCGTGAATGTACTCTTTAACCCCTGGTGTGGTGTAAACCGTGTCGAAGTCACCGGTCATGAACTTGACCGGAACTTGGATCTTAGCTCCGGTCCATGGTGCAGTGTGCTCCCAACTCCTGATATTAAATAATAACAAATAAACACAAACCCTAAAGTAGGAAATCATGAATTAAGAGCTTACAGATCCAAGGCTCTGTAGTAGTTCAAGCCACCAAGAAATCCTGTCTTTTCGAATTTGGAAGCGTAGAAATCAAGACCCTCTTTAGAAAACCATTTAGGCAATTCAATGTTTTTACTGTTAAGGTTAGGGTTTTTCCCAAGGGGATTATTCTTAGGTAAAATAGCCGGACCGAGTGGCCTCCCTGTGAAGATGTTCCCTAGAAGGATTCTTAGATCTGAACTCGCAAACTCTTGTTCAATCTTCCCCGGTTCCTGCAAATTCATAAGTGTTTTAAGGTTAACAGTGTCATTTTATTGGTCGATGTGAATTACATGATTAGTAAAGCCGGTTGATAAAAGAATAACATAAAGAAAGATCAAAATTTCTAAACCTGAAATCTACATACGTAGTAATCATCCCCAAACATAGCCTTTAGCCATTGAACAGGCTTGACACTAGGGTTTCTTGGGATATACGGCACACTCAGACAGACAAAGCCCTTAATTTTCTCCGGTCGAAATAAACAGAGAAACCATCCCATAATGGCTCCCCAGTCATGACCGACCAGAAAGACCTTCTCTTGATCTCCAGCAACACTGTCCAGGAGGGCAATGAGGTCACCAACGACTTTAAGATACGTGTAGTCGGAGAAAGATTCCGGCGAATCAGAGTCTCCGCAGCCTCGGAGGTCTGGAGCTACAGCGCGGTAACCCAGAGATGATAAACCAGTAATCTGGTGACGCCACGTGTACCAGAGATCAGGGAATCCATGGAGGAGAAGCACCACGGGACCTTCTTTGGGACCTTTCTCTGCGATGTGCAGTGTTATGCCATTGACGCTCACCATTCTATGGTCGATTCCTTCCATTTCTCCTCCTTCCCTTCGTTGGAATGTGTTTTTACTTTCTAAGTTGTGTGATGGAGACAATATGGTTGTGATACAAATAGAGAATCCATAGGGAAATAACCTTTAATATATACTGAAACAAATAGCATATTACTTGTGTAATTTGCATGTACAGAGAAACTTGTTACCTATCTTTTAGATAACAGAAATACTAGTTTTAAATGGTAACTTAATAAGTTACTTTGCTATCAAACACATTATTTGAAAGACACTAACACAACATTTGTTTTTATTTGTTTGCGAAAATTCAACAAAACATGGATATGTATAATGTTGAGCCTCTCCAAAGAAGAGTAAGAGAGTTAAATCTTGTAATAAGATAAGAGAGAATAGAGATGAATAATATTGTGGCTAGTTGTAAATTATGTAAGACCAAATTAAAATATCTTTTGACCAAAAAAATAAATATTAGAAATATATAATAAATAAATAGAAAAATATTGTCGTTTTCAGAGAGTAGAATAACATTGTGGTTGTAATGTAAAATAGAAAAATATCTCAAAAAATATGTTTGGCTTTCGGTGGAGAAGGAAAAGTAAACGCAGACTATAGTAAAATCCCAATAATAGAGGTGGTCGCGATTGTGACATTATATTTGTGTGCATGCATTCCATATACAGTGTATGTCTTAAGAGCACCTTCAATGGGTGCTTACCATTTTTTAAAATCAAATTTGACTTCTGTTAACTTAAGCACTTCTTGACAAAATTTGAAAAATATTGATGCCCAATGGGGATGGTCTTAGACTTATTTATGATTTTTCCTCTAAAACCAAATTTGTTGAGTTGACGACAAAACAAAAAAAAACAAATTAGTTGAGAAACATTGCTACATCACCAAAAATGTTCTTGCTGTTTAGGATTATTGTTTTACTTGGTTATCTCTGCAGTTTTATTGGTTTTCTTGCGACTCATTGTAAAATCTACAATTATCTGTTGATCTTACCAAATTCGCCAGGCTTGAGATCGATCGAATTGATTCTCCATCAGTCGCTACAAGATTCAGAGTGTACCATTGTCATTGATGAGCTTCGTAATGCCAAATCTTATTCATAATCTTGTCGGAACAACACATGCAAGAACCAAATTGATTGGAGAGATAACATAACAGAAGCAAACAAACCCTTAAAAGCTTTTGTTCTTGTTCTGAAGTTTGGTGAAGAAGTCATTAATGTGAGCAGTGACCTCTCGAGGTTTCTCTTGGTTGACGAAGTGACCAGCATCTTCAATTACCACTATCTCTTGAAGATTTGGAACATCTGCAGCAAATCCACCACCGTGAATGTACTCTTTAATCCCTGGTGTGGTGTAAACCATGTCGAAGTCACCGGTCATGAACTTGACCGGAACTTGAATCTTAGCTCCCGTCCACGGTGCAGTGAGCTCCCAATTCCTGATCGACATCAACAAATAACAAATAAACACAAACCCTAAAGTAGGGATTCATATATATTTAAGAACTTACAGATCCATGGCTCTGTAGTAGTTCAATCCACCGGTAAATCCTGTTTTGTCGAATTTGGAGGTGTAGAAGTCAAGATCCTCCTTAGAAAACCATTTAGGCAATTCAATGCTTTCGTAATCAGGTTTAGGGTTTTCCGCAAAGGGATCATTCTTAGGTAAAATAGGCGGACCGAGTGTCCTCCCTGTGAAGATGCTCCTCAGAAATCTTCTTGGATCACTCGCAATCTCTCCTTCAATCTTCCCCGGTTCCTGCAAACTCATAAGTGTTCAAACTAAAATTGGACACAATAATCAAACTACAGTATGTCGTCATTTGAACGATTTTGTTTTGTTAGTCGATTTGAATTACTTAGGGATTAGTAAAGCCGGTTGATAACAGAAGAAAATAAAGAAAGATACAACATGCAAAACCTGAAATCTACAAATGTAGTAATCATCTCCAAACACGGCCTTAAACCCTTGAACAGGCTTGACTTTAGGGTTTCTTGGTTTATACGGCACACTCAGACAGACAAAGCCCTTAATCTTCTCCGGTCGAAATAAACAGAGATGCCATCCGATAATGGCTCCCCAATCATGACCTACCAGAAACACATCTCCAGCGAATAAAGTGTCCAGAAGGGAAATGAGGTCACCAACGACGTTAAGACACGTGTACTCGGAGAAAGACTCCGGCGAGTCAGAGTCTCCGTAGCCTCGGAGGTCTGGAGCTACAGCGCGGTAACCGAGAGATGATAAGCCAGTAATCTGGTGACGCCAGGTGTACCAGAGATCAGGGAATCCATGGAGGAGAAGCACCACGGGACCTTCTTTGGGACCTTTCTCTGCAACGTGCAGTGTTATGCCATTGACGCTCACCATTCTATGGTCGATTCCTTCCATTTCTCCTCCTTCCCTTCGTTGGAATGTGTTTTTAGTTATCTAAGCTGTACATGTGATGATGATATAAATAGAGAGCCCAAAGGGAAGTAACTTTTTTAATATTTACTTGTGAATTTGCCTAGACAAAGGAACTTCTTACCTATCTTCTTAGATTAGATAGTAGTTTTAATTGTTAACATAAGTTGGTGGCCGAAAATAAATAATAAAACACGGAGTAATTGAAACACATTTATTTGTCTGAAAAACTACACAAAACATGAGCTTCTCAAAAGAAGTGTCTTTCCCAATTGGTGAAGTCGGATAACCATTAATTTAGCTTTTAGGATTTGAAGGGGAAGTAATTGCCGACTATAGTAAAAGAATCCCTTTACAGAGGTGGTTGCGACTTCCGAGCGATTGTTTGCATGCATATATGCCCTTGGGAATCCATACTATTACAGTCTAGACTAGGAGTGTATGTTGTTAATTCAAAGCTTAAAAAGATGAGTGGGTGGAGATGAATTCAATGCAGAAGTAAATGAAGAGTTAGTTGTCACTACTTCTGTTTCTCGAAAATATTCATCTTTCACTTATATGGCTCTTTTTTCTCCAGTTAAGCAATAATTCGTTTTCTATTTATGTGGTATTAACTTTCAAACGTTCTCTTTCATAGGCTTTTGTTGTCCCCAGTCATAAATATTTAAAAGTGTGTGTTTCATATGGTGAAATCATTTACTGAATTACATCTTTGTTCGTACCAAAAATACAAGTGAATTAACATTTTAGTAAGATTACTATTCAATTTTAGGATATGTAAATTGAAAACCTTTTTTTTTAAGTTAAAACTTGCTCATGAAACGGAGTATTACCTTCGACCAACATTATCGGGGGTATCTTAGGGGGTTAAGATACCCCCAATAATGTTGCTCTTAGTATTGGTGAAATATGTTTTTTAGAACATTAAAACTCAGTGTTGATTAGCGGAAAAATAAAATTCTTCTACATAATGAGTTTACAAGATGCACTAGTTAATTATAATAGATTCATAAACAACATTTTAATATACTGCAATATATTAAACATGAGTTTACAAAGCTAAACATTAATCTCTCAACAATTTGGAAGACTTGTAACCCTGAATGTTGTGCAATTAAACTTTTTTTTTTTTAATCTTTTCAGGTTTTCTTGAATTAGAGTAAGGAAAAACACATTTTATGGTATCTTAAACAATTTTTTAGGTAGACTTTGAAACCATCGAAATAGCGCTCTCTATTGAAGCCATCATAAATGAACTTTCAGGGGAAGCTGCTGGAGATGTTGTTGGTGTAATATAGCCAGCGCCAGGATGCTCTGTTGAAGCCATCCTAATTGAACTTTCGGGAGAAGTTGCTAGAGAACCTGTTGGAGATATGGAGCTAGTGGCATGCCTCTCAGTTGAAACCATCTTAACTGAACTTTCAGAAGAAGTTGCTGGAGAAGCTGCTGGAGACCTCTCTGTTGAAACCATTTTCATTGAACTTTTGGGAGAAGCTGCTGGAGAATCTGTTGGAGAAATCGAGCCAGCACCACTTGTATCTGCGAAGGAGGAGAAACCAGGAGCAGGTGAGCCACTCGGGACGGTGGTTGCGGCTGCTGGATTTCCAGCCAAAAGGCCTGAAGTGTACGGAACACCTTTGCCCGGAACCCAAGTATCACCTTGGATGTACTGAGCCGGTGTGAACTTAAGGATATCTTCGTCGCTCAATGTCTTGATTCCGGCCCAAGTAACCCGATTTGCAACAGTAGCTCCTGGTCCTGTATTTTGGACTTCAGAGTAGAACAATGTCTTGAGGCCGAAGTCCCCTTGCCATGGTTGCCATCCTTGAGGCTGGACAAAATCTGGAATGAACGTGTTCATGATAATAGTCCTTGAATACTCCTTCCATGGCCGTCCGAGATATGCTTTGCTGGTTTCTTTGACAGCCAAGTAATCTGGCTCACCGGCAATGGTACACCCTTGGAACACAAATCCGGTGGATTCCCTTGGGTCTTTACGACCATGGGCTGTGATCGGGCATGCTTGGTTTGGGAGTGGCTTCCTCACTAACAAAGTACAATTTTGGAATACAGCTGCTGCATCTCCAAAGAGGAAATCAATAGTGCCTGAGATGGTACAATCACGGAAAAACTGACGGTGGGAGTGAGTGTAGAGCGTGTCTTGGTAGCCATCGAATCTACAATTGAAAAATATTGCCTCATCTGATTGAACCCTAAGCGCAACCGCTTGATGTTTTATTGCCCCAGCGGTGTTTTCAAACCCTATATTCTTGGCAATGAAGTAGTCTCCAACAATCGCTGCAAGAAACATTAGATTAATTTGACATATATAAATTCTGAAACTATATAAGCTAATGCGTAAAAATTGTTAAAATATATCATACCAACTGTGGCAGTACGATAGGTGGTGATACCATCCTTGTAACTCTTGTTGCCAGAAATGATGGTTTTTTCGGGACCATCACCGATGAACACGAGATGTGTCATGCTCTTGTTGACCTGAACATACTCCTTGTAGATTCCAGCCTTAATGTGAACCACGAAAGTAGTGTTCTTCTTCTTCGGGACAAACATCAATGCGTCGTTGATCGTTGTGTATTGCCCACTCCCGTCCTGAGCCACCACGATATCAGGCTTCACATCAGAATATGCGGCAGCAGCTTGCAAAAGCCTACGGCCCCGCTGGTCTACCCACGAAGGGAATCCTTCGGCCAAGAGTCGGCGGCTGTTAAGACCTGGGATCTGCATTTGGCCCACGAAGTTGGACATTTCGCTAATGATCGCTAGCCCGTTGTGAGTCAACTCGATTGCGGTCTTCAATGCTTTCTTCATCGTCTCTCCAGCGTTGCCTTGCGTCCCTTGAAACCCTTCGAGACAAGTCTCCTCATGGCTGATGGCCGCGCTGAGCCAAATCCTCAGATTGATCAAAGCTTCGTCAAGCTTGTGGAACTCAAATTTCCCAAGCTCTTCAAAAGAGCTACTAAGCTCGCCCAACGCGTAATCCATTAGCTCTGTGCACTGATCAAGCGCCATCCTTGTCCTCGGATCCTTCTGAAGCTCCATCATAGTCTGAGACTTCTTAGCTACGTCTGTGATCTGCTTCATCGTAGCACTAAAAGCAGTTTTAACCAACTCCATCGGGTCGGTGGTGTTCTGCCCGTTCTGAATCAAAGTGTCTTCACAAGTCTTCCTGTAATCAGTTGGTGCACAAACATCCTTGACGGCTTTGACAGAAGCAGTTATCTCTCCTTTATCTTCTGAGTCAGCATCGTTCTTGTTAAGGCTGACCCCGATGGTAACGGCGACTACCATCGAGATCAAAAGAACAGAAGAGATTGTGATTGCAACAAACCTCCTCTTCCTCTTGGAATCATCGTCGTATCCGTACGACATATTTCTATTTTGTGTTTTTCCTTACAATTTCTAATTCTTTTTGTTGTCTTCTCTAATAAAATATGTTTTTCGAACTTGAACAGCTCTGAAGAATTATTGTTAAAAAAATATAAGAGCTGTTCGTTGTTCTATTGAGAAAAAGAGATTATGAGTTTTATGGACTCCTCCGTCGAAGGTTACGTAAGCCTCCTTGGGAGTGTTCATTTTTTCATAATTGTCAAGATGGATTATTTATAACGGTAATGACAAATTAAGGGTTCTGTTTTTTTGGTTGCTCTGTTTTTCTAAGGCTTGGCGGGAAATCCGGCTAGTGATAAACTGTTGAAAAGACAAAAAATAGGTTTGTGGTTTTATTGTCTTCTCTGTTTCCTTACAAGTTTCTAAATAGAGAACATGATTAATCTTATTTTAGGGATTTTAACTCATTGTTTGTTTGTTTGTTTCTTCTTTTATCCACAGGATTGATGAGTGGTTTTTTTAATTACTAATTTAACATACCATTTGGTACAGTCCCAACAAAATCTAGAAGAAATCAATGTGGGATTTTATTTTTTTGTGAGTCAAAAAAATTGTAGCTTATGACTAAAACAAACTATGGTCGTATAATTTAATTTCAAACAATCTAGAAATTTAAACACACATACACTCTATGTCATGATCTCATGATTCTTTTTTCCTGTGCAAACCAGAGAATTATGTCGATGACAAACAATAAATGAAAATTAATAACATATGATTCTAAAATAATATAAAAACTGAAATTGAGTTAGTTAGCTAGACCAGCGGTGAACGTGACACCTGTTGCCGGAAGCCATCTCTGACCGTCAATGAATGATCCAACGGTGAAGGACAATGCAGTCCGTTTGTCCATGATATGATAACCAGGCCATTTAACCCGACCTGATGATCGCCAACCCGGTCCAATATTATTGTATTCTCCGTACCACAAAGTGTCTAAAGCAAAGTTACCAAACCACTCAAGCCATCCTCTGGGCTGGACAAGCTGGCTCATGTAAGTGTTCATGTAAACTGTTCTTGAATAGAGTTTCCACGGCCGGCCGAGATAAGTAGGTTGTGTGGCCAACACGTAGCTATTCTGGATCACGAACCCTGTATTTTGATTAGGGCTTTTTCTCCCTTGCGCGGTTATCGTTACCTTCTGGAGCGGTAACGGGACCCGTGTGTAGATTTTACAATTCTGTAAAACGGCAGCGCCGTTTCCGAATATGAAATCAATCGTACCATAAATTTCACAATCTCTATAGAACTGACGGAGGGAATGGGCGTAAAGAGTGTCTTGGTAGCCTTCCACGCTACATCGATAGAAGGCGGATTGGTCGGAATCAACCCTCAATGCGACAGCTTGACGGTTTTGTGGTCCAGCTGTGTTTCTGAATGTTATGTCCTTTGCTATGAATCCTCTTCCGGAAACAGCTGATCAAACCAAAATTATGGGTTACTCAAAGTTAATTAGATATGTGTAAGTAACAAAATATATTGAATAAGAAGTTATTTGTAACACAAGAAAGAGGTAATTTATAAGAAAATACTATAAAAAGGCTTGAAAGTCGGTTGATCGCAGAAAGCAAAAGCATTAAAACACAATAAACAAAAATAATTTGTTGACCATGTTCAGTAAGAGAAAAGAATAAAAAGGTGATAAAAAGATTAATCAATCATTCAAGTAACGACAATATCAAAGTAAGTAACTAGATATTGAATTAGTAGATAATTGTTGCACACGAAAGGAATAAATTATAAGAAGAAAAACTACAAGCTTGAAAGCCTGCAGAGTGCAAAAGCATATATGCTTTTCTAATTTTCAAACACATTAATATACAGAATTTGACAAAAACCAAAAAGGGAGAAACGTACAAAAAGGTTAATCAATCAATTAATTGACTATAGTATTAATTAACTATCTAAATTATAAATACTAACCAACGGTTGCAGTTCGGAATGTGGTAAGGCCCTGCATGAAATTCAGGTTACCGGTTATAATCGTCTGTCCGATACCGTCACCAACAAGCATGATGTTAGTCTTCTTCTTCTTCAAATCGATATTTTCTTTATACACACCTTTCTTCACGTATATAATATATCGTTTTGTGCTATGGTTGGGAGCCTCGTTGATGGCCTCATTAATCGTCCGATACTTCCCTTTTCCATCTAAAGACACAACCGTGTTTGAGTGCTTCCCACTGGGGTCATGACGCATCATGAGACTTTCGTCGGTCTCCGTGAGCCACTCAGGGCTTGCGGTGAAGCTCTCGTTCCTAGATGCCTTGAAAGGCAAGGCATTGAGCTGCGTGTACATGTCTAAGACGTTGCTCACAAGCTGAGTGACTTGTCTTAAGGTACCTTTGATCAATTCCTCGTACTTTCTCTCTGTTCCTTCAAACCCTTCCAGACACGTGTCTTGGTTACTCATCGCTGCACTTAGCCAGGTTTTAAGATTGCCTCCCGCAGCAGCAGCGTCGTGAGAGCCACCGTCTATTCCTCCTCCTCCGTGGAGTTTGTTCATCTCCAGCATCGACCATGCAAGCTCCGTCACAGAGAAGCCTACAAGCTCTTTACAATCCTCTATGGCAATTTGCTCACGGGAACGGATGGATAACGTCGTAACCGTTGGGATCCTTTCCATTGCTAACTTGGCTTTGTCATGCGCTTCCTTTACCGCAGCGCTTAAAACCGAGTGAGGGTTTAACCCGTGACCCGATTCCTTGATGTGCGTCCGGATGTTAGAGACGCAAGACTCATGCGCATAGATAAACTGGCACGCTTTCGCTACAAGAGACTGAAAATTTTCTTCTTTGTATGGCTTGAAAATAGTGGTTTCAGACGAGGAAGTGTGGACAAATATAAGCATAGCTAAGAGAAGAGCGGTGAGAAACCCGTTGATGCCCATTTGTGAGAAGAGGTTTCACGTTTTGGGTTTAGGTTAGTAAAGGAAAAGGAACAGAGGAAAGAGGTGAAGCTATATATAGGAAAAAACCTAGGGAGGTTTAGGTATTGATTGTTGGTAAAGAAATGTTCTTTGCCTCTTTGGGAACTGTAGGAACAAATTCAAACTTTATTTTTTTACCTTCTTTTGTTACTCTTTTGTCAAGCCAAAGTTATTCTTTCTCTATTTGTCCAAAGCTCTCTTTTATTTGTTGCTCTCTATACTTTGTTGGATTCTGCTTCTAGCGAGACTTTTGCACACGCTCCTACTGGCTTTGACCGGTACAGTTATTATCTGATTTCACCCGGTTCAGTTGAAAAACAGAGGCAATCTCAATTAAACCGATAGAAGAATGACGGGAGAGAAAACAACTTTTGGAATTAAAATCGGTTTCCGATTGGTTCAGCAAAGCTAATATGCCGGTTTGTTCTGCTCCATCTGTTCCCTCCCACTTGTCATCTTATCTTCTGGGAATTATACGGTAAAGGTGAGCAATCTCTAGAGAGATTGTAATCGTCGTCGCTGTGATTAATTCGCCGGGAAGAATGGCACTAACCCAGATCGTGAATCCAATCATATGTCCATCTTGCACAATTCCACGGCGTTTCACGGCAATTTCGCCTTTTAAAGCCCTAAACCCCCAATTTTCCCGCCACCCAACCCACGCACTGTCTCGCAGACTCTTCCTTCCTTCTGTTTCCTCGATATGGGATGCCATAACCGGAGGCGGAGACTCGAACCCTCGTGAGGCCTTCGCAGCAACTCGACGTGGAATGCAGCTCTTCAGACAGGTAGAATTGGATCAATCCGACAAACACAACTGTTCTAACAAAAGAGACTCTTTTTTTACTTTGTTTCCCTAAACCTGAACTTCATATTCAATATGCTTTTCGTTTCCTTTTTGTAAAAGGGTGATGTTGCTGGATCGGTGAGTGAGTTCGATAGAGCTGTTGTATTGGACCCAAGGCAAAAGGCATGTACGTTTTATCTCCTTTATCTTTAGCTCATGACTATATCTCTGAAAAGCTTTGAATTTGAATCAGATCTTTAGTTATTTTGGTTCACGCGAACATTAACATTTGTTTTGATGACAGATCTTTGGCAACGGGGGCTTTCTCTTTACTATCTAGATAGGTACGAGCTCCTACTCACTATTTCTTGTTTGGTATAGTTGATTATTAGAATATAGTCAATCCATTGTAGAAAACTGTTCAAATTTGTGAACTCTGGTCTCTGTATATCCTATGAAGTAATGAAATATCCTACAGGTTTGAAGAAGGTGCGGAGCAGTTCCGGATAGATGTTGCTCAGAACCCAAATGACACAGAGGAGTCTATTTGGTGCTTTCTCTGCGAGGCCCGGCTCCACGGTGTTGATGTTGCACGAAAACAGTTTCTCGAGGTTTGTTTTTCCTTATCCTTAAGCTTATCATTCCACGATCAGTAACAAAAGTAGAATATGAAATCTTTGTAGGTTGGTAGAGATTCTCGGCCTGTGATGCGGGAAGCTTATAATCTATTCAAGAATGGTGGTGATCCTGAAAAGGTTATGAGACAGTTTTCTAATCTTGGTAACTGATGTCTTGATTTTCTTCCACTAAACTCACTTAGTCATCTGATATTCAAAATGACAGTTAGTTAAAGACTTTTCTAGTGGTGGTCAAGCAAGCGAATACTTCTACGCTTCGCTGTATGCAGGGCTCTACTATGAAGCTGAGGTAAGCTCTCTATCTTGAATTTCTCCAACACGATCTGCATTGACATCTATTCTTCTTCAAGAACAAACAGCCCTCAGATAATCTTGTTTTAAGTGTCTTGTTTTATTCTTGCTGCAGGGTAAATCAGAAAACGCCAAGTTTCACATCACCGCGGCTTGTGGATCTCCATATGGGCAGAGGTCTGAATCCTTATAGCATACTTGGTGCAATTAAAAATGAAGAGATTCGATGGTTTTGCTTTTTGATGCTTTTGGATCCCCTATTAATTTTCAGGTCTGATGATTATATGGCTTCACTTGCTAAAGTTCACTGCCTCTGTAGAAACTGGAGCTCCGGTATTGTTTGATGGTTATTTGGAGCCTTACATTCTTACACTTTTAAGGCCCAATTTGTGAATACCAGTTTGCAATTTCCGGCCTTTAGATATAGGACTTGACAATACTTGTATTTGGGATGTGAACAATGAACTTTTTGTTCTTTTCTTTTTTTGTCAACGAACAATGAACATTGTTGCGCCGTTTTTGGAATATTCTTCGTAAACATGTTTACAAAATTATTTGTTCTCTTACCAATTGTCATCAGTTGGATAATGAATGAGAAATTTCACTTTCCTGAAATGAAAGTGATGGTTCAGTCATGAAAGCTGCTGTGTTATATATGTTTACCTCGGGTCATCGTTTGATAATCTAATACCTATATGCCATTTTGTGTAACTCTGCTATTCCTTGTATAGAGAGATTATTAGTTTTGAATTTTGATAACTATGTTGATACTGTATACGATATGATTAATTAATTCCCTGTACTTTACATAAACATTAAATAATATCTTTGAATACTTGAGAGAAAATTCTAAATCATATAATTGTATTTTGTCATGATTGATAAAAAAAAAGGATGAACAAAACCGGAGATGGAGAGTGGAGACACTAATCATTTTTGTCTAATCACAATATTATATGAATTAAATAAGAGTGTGTTTGGGAATATTCTGATCTGGTAGAAGCACAAAAAAATTGGGATATTCTTGTCGTTTGATGCTTGCATGGCATATACTTCAAACGACATCAACTCTTGTTCCGTTAAAAGACCAAATTGTCCCTTGACAGGAAGAAGAAGACATCAAGAGTTATATGTTAGCAAACAAAAGTCTAAGGGTAAGATCGTCGTATCGCTTCTTTGTCCGATAGAGTGATGTTGTATATATAACCAAGTTGCATATATACACGGTAGGGTAGACGGGAGTTAGCATATACCCATCATCTTCAACGTACACGTGTTCATAATCATACGTGGCATCATCTCACGACGCAACCGGGTCGTTCGTTAAACCTACCGTGACGGAACCACTGCCGTAGAATATACTGCTGTCAGACATATTTAAACCTTAATCCTAAAATCTAAAAACCTATACATATATAAATAAATATATTTTACATATTTATATTTACATCCGTCGAGTTCTTCGGACATGCAATCGTGAACGGCAGCGTTTCGACGACGGTGGGAGTAGTTTATCGATGTCGACGGAAAATTTGCTACTTCATAACAGCGTTAAATCGGACAACGTCATCAGAAGGAGCAGAGCTTCTGGAGGTGATGCGGCGGCGGCGGCGTATTCTATCGGCGGTGGATGTCAGATATTCGATGAACTTCCAAAGGCTATGATCGTCTCAGTCTCACGACCCGACACCACCGATTTTAGTCCCTTGCTTCTTTCTTACACCTTGGAGCTTCGGTATAAACAGGTATGTATTTTACAATGTTTCTCTTGCAATTTAGTGTACTCTGTTGAATTGTCATTAGGGTTTTGATTTGACTATAGCCTCTCTCTAATAATGGCTTCCGTCTAGAAATTTTGATATCTGTGACAAAGAAATTACATGAAGAAGATTTGACTTGTTGCAAAAGATGTTTAAATTATAAATGCAAATATATATATTCAGTTTAATATTGTTTTTTTCTCCATGAGTTTATGTTCTGTTTTGTATCAATTAGTTAGACCTATTGAAACTGCTATCCTCTGTTTTTGGTGTATGTATAGTTCAAGTGGACACTACAAAAGAAAGCTTCTCAAGTTGTATACCTACATTTCGCTTTGAAGAAACGTTTGATCGTTGAAGAACTCCACGAGAAGCAAGAGCAGGTCAGTCCTTTCCGGGGTTTGCATATTTGCTATATAAAAAAAAAAACTATCACTGAACTTGAAAAATGCGGTATTCGACAGGTTAGAGAGTGGCTGCACAGCTTGGGGATCGTTGATATGCAAGGATCAGTTGTGCAAGATGATGAAGAACCTGATGACGGTGCTCTTCCTCTAAACTACACACAAGACAGTGTCAAGAACAGGTGCTTTTATAAGTCAAAAGATATTTTTTGGCTTTGTGGATTGAGTAAGCATTGCTAACACTAAATATCTAATATTTTGTGTAGATTCCTGAAACATTTGATTTTTATGGTTTGCAGGAATGTACCTTCGCGTGCAGCGTTTCCAATCATCAGACCAACAATAGGCCGGTCAGAGACAGTTGTAGACCGTGGGAGAACCGCAATGCAAGGTTACTTGAGTCTCTTTCTAGGGAACTTGGACATTGTTAACTCCAAAGAGGTTTGAGTTTTTTTCGCTAGAGATGACTATGACTTTTTTTGTTGCGATTTTTATGTTGCTTGTGTCACACTTAAACAATTGTATCCGCAGGTCTGCAAGTTCCTGGAAGTTTCTAGACTCTCATTTGCTAGAGAGTACGGTTCTAAGATGAAAGAAGGATATGTCACAGTGAAGCACCTTAGGAAATTCCCCGGGTCTGATGGTGGTAATTGCTGTCTTCTTTCATGTTGTCTCGGCTGCTTCAGAACTAGCTGGACCAAGGTTTGGAAAAAATAAACTCAGGATTTTGCAAATCTCTTAAAATATGTTCTTGCCGGGGTGAATAATCTCCGCGTCATTTATGCTGGACTTATTTAGGTTTGGGCGGTTTTAAAACCGGGATTCTTGGCATTACTAGAAGATCCTTTCAGCGGAAAGCTTCTAGATATAATGGTGTTTGATTCATCGCTGTTCCAGAACGCAAAGGAGTGTTCTGAGCTGCCGCATTTGGCTGAACAGGTGAAGGAACGCAATCCGCTGCGCTATGGCTTTAAGGTGACAAGTGGGGACAGAACCGTGAGACTAAGAACTACAAGCTGTGGGAAAGCTAAAGAATGGGTTAAGGCCGTTGACGAAGCTGGTTGTAACAATCCACATCGGTTTGGCTCGTTTGCACCACCAAGAGGCTTGGCATCTGATGGAAGCCAGGCTCAGTGGTTCGTAGACGGTCACACTGCGTTTGAAGCCATCGCTTTTGCAATCCAAAATGCAACATCAGAGGTTTCATTTCTTTGTCTCAACTCATAACTGAGAACGTATCATAAAATCTTAGGATTTGAATGGAGTTTTAATTCAAATATTTTCATCTGCAGATATTTATGACTGGTTGGTGGTTATGTCCGGAGCTATATCTCAAACGTCCCTTTCAAGATCATTCGTCATTGAGGCTCGATGCATTGCTGGAGACAAAAGCAAAACAGGGCGTTAAGGTATGCTTTATAAGATACATTTCTTCCAGTGGATTTGTTTTGTTTTATAATAATCTCAAAATGTTTTTTTTTTTTTTTTTTGGACAATCCTAAAATGTTTATAATAATCTCAAAATGTTTAAACTTTAAAATTTGTTGCAGATTTATATTCTTCTCTATAAGGAAGTTCAAATCGCCCTGAAAATCAACAGTATGTACAGCAAGAAACGGCTTCAAAACATTCACAAGAACGTCAAAGTTCTTCGTTATCCAGACCATCTCTCCTCTGGCATTTACCTCTGGTACAGACAGTATAAAGTCCAAAACCCGTGGATTTGCTTAACTTCTTAAGCTATACCTAAAGTTAAATTCTTTGACATTTTCAGGTCACACCATGAGAAGATAGTGATTGTAGATTACCAAGTTTGCTTCATCGGAGGATTAGATCTCTGTTTTGGCCGCTATGATACAGCGGAGCATAAGATTGGAGATTGCCCTCCTCATATATGGCCAGGAAAGGATTATTACAATCCTAGGTAAGATCCTGAACTTGTCTAAATCTTTTCTAACAAAAAGAATCATATTTCTTACCAATGGTTATATCTATCATCAGAGAATCTGAACCAAATTCTTGGGAAGAAACGATGAAAGACGAGCTTGACCGGAGAAAATACCCAAGAATGCCGTGGCACGATGTCCACTGTGCTCTATGGGGACCGCCTTGTCGTGATGTGGCTCGACATTTCGTCCAGCGGTGGAATCACTCTAAGGTAATCACAATTTAGAGATATCAGCGTCTTTTTAGCTAATCTGCAGTTTTTTTTAATAAGATTCTGATATATTTGTGTCTTTGTTAAAATTAGAGAAACAAGGCACCTAATGAACAGACGATTCCGTTGCTGATGCCTCACCACCATATGGTTCTCCCTCACTACTTGGGAACTAGAGAGATCGGTATTGTTGCAGCTAAAACTAAGGAAGACCCGGAAAAACCCGTTGTTCTCGCTAGACAAGACTCTTTCTCTTCAGCTTCACCGCCTCAAGATATCCCTTTGCTTCTCCCGCAAGAAACCGATGCGGATTTCGCCAGACAAGGAGGAGATCTGAAGTTAGATGACGGTTCAAGAAAAGATCTGTATGAATCTAATGCTAATGTTGAGCTGCCAGGGGAAACATCAGAGGAAAGCGACCAGGACGAGGCTGTGAACGAGTGGTGGTGGCAGATTGGGAAGCAAAGTGATTGCAAGTGTCAGATAATCAGAAGTGTTAGCCAATGGTCTGCTGGAACGAGCCAGCCTGAAGATAGCATTCATCGAGCTTATTGTTCACTTATCCAAAACGCTGAACATTTCATCTACATTGAGGTATAACCTAATCATTCAAGCATTTTCATATAAACTCTCTTTCATTTCAAATTAGTGTTACATTCTAAATCTCTTAATCTTCTTATTTACCAGAACCAATTCTTCATCTCCGGGATGGAAAAAGATGACACGATTCTGAACCGCGTTCTCGAAGCTTTATACAGACGCATTCTGAAAGCTCACGAAGAGAACAAGTGCTTCCGCGTCGTGATCGTTATACCGCTCCTCCCTGGATTTCAGGTACTGTATACTTCTTCCAGTTGCAGTCTCAAAATTGTTAACAGAAAAAACCCACAACGCCAATCATTTTGTTTATATTGTGAAAAAAAACAGGGAGGTATAGATGACTTCGGAGCAGCCACGGTTCGAGCACTGATGCATTGGCAATACCGTACCATCTCTAGAGAAGGAACTTCGATTCTTGAAAACCTTAACGCTTTGCTAGGTTCCAAGACGCAAGATTACATCTCCTTCTACGGTCTAAGATCGTATGGACGGTTGTTCGAGGACGGTCCAATTGCCACTAGCCAGATTTACGTGCATAGTAAGCTAATGATTGTTGATGACCGGATCGCAGTGATTGGATCTTCTAACATAAACGATCGGAGCTTACTAGGCTCACGTGACTCGGAGGTATTTCCAAAACTCCATTTTAATCTTTATGGCAGAAAAGAAAGATAAGAGAGTTATGCATTCACTAAATCAATCGTGTTTCAGATTGGAGTTGTAATCGAAGACAAAGAATTTGTGGAATCTTCGATGGACGGAGTGAACTGGATGGCCGGGAAATTCTCTTACAGTCTTAGATGTTCCTTGTGGTCAGAGCATCTCGGCCTTCACGCCGGGGAGGTAATGTTACATATATATATATATATATACTTTCAAGAAACGCCTATATATACATAAGTTTCCTGTCTTGAGAAAATTTTATAATCAATCATTTGAGTCTATAGCCCTTCAAAACTTGTTAATATTTTTCACTTGTTTCTGCTCTCTTCTCTTATAGTAGTGGCATCCTATTTCCGTAGTATAAGATTCTTAAACTGAATGTTTCTTTCAACCATCCTTATCTTATTTATTATTATTTTTTTTTTGTTTAGATGAAAAATATCCAAGATCCAATCAAAGATGCAACATACAAAGACTTGTGGATGGAAACGGCTAAGAAGAACACTGACATCTATGACCAAGTCTTCTCTTGCATTCCTAATGAGCATATACGCTCAAGGTTAATACTCCTCCTTTTTAGTTGAATCTCCATGAACTTTAGAGATATAAAAAAAAAATCCTAAATTATCACACTTGTTGTGCTCAATATGAGATGATCTAATGATTCTCTTGATCCTGAAACACAGAACTGCTTTGAGAGAGAGCATGTCTCTTTTGAAAGATAAGCTGGGTCACACAACGATCGACCTTGGGATTGCACCGGAAAAGCTAAAACCATGCGGCAGCGACTCGTGGGAGAGGCTGAAGGAGACAAAAGGGCACCTCGTGTGTTTCCCATTACAGTTCATGTGTGATCAAGAAGATCTCAGACCGGTATTCAACGAAACCGAGTTCTACACTGCTCCCCAAGTCTTCCATTGACCTCTGTTTAGTATACATCCAGTTCTCTTAATATGAGACCTAAGCCGAATATGGCAAACTATAGTAAATGGTTAAAGACGCTCACACGTTACATGTATGTAGAGAGATTAGCTATATACAGTAGAAATAGGTATCTCATTTGATAGCAGCTTCCTAGGTTTGCAGAGGTATATGTATATAGAGTATACACTTCTTTTTGTGAATAATGTTTATGTGCATCATGCTGTACAATACATCTTGAATTGTTACAATATTCACTTTTCTTAATCCTGGATAGGTTTGCATACTCGTGACTTTCTTGTTCTTACAGCCTGCACAGTAGATTTATGTTTGATTCTTGATTTAAAAGCCTGCTTCCTCATCACAAGTTTCGATAATAACTTTCGATGGTTCACACTCTCTAAACTCTTATGAAAATTCCAAGTAACCGGTTGTTTTGTTTAGATTGTAAGTTTGTAACATAATAGTGGTCGGCAAGAAATTTGATATTCAATGTGATTATAAGAAAGTCTATTTACATCACATCATTGTTCTGTTTTTAGCCTGGTCCCAAATCCATTACCTACTTACAGGTCGTGTCAGGGTGAATATGTTGCGATAGAGATGAGGAAGACTGTGAAGATTGGAAGAAGAGGCAAACGGCAGAGATATCATCCATGGCAATTCCACGTCTCTTTCTATTCCAAGCCTTCACCGCTTGCTGTACCAGTCGTTTGGCCGCCTTTGGCCGATCAGCGGTCGAGGAAACAATGTCTATGGCCTCTTGGTTTGATATCACATCCCATACCTATAATGTTTCAAGTAAATGACTTTGCCAATAATAAACCCCCCAAAAAAAAAACTTATTCAGATGTTCTTACCCCATCCGTGGCCAAAATTACAAACTGGTCTCTAGTGGAGATATGCCTTTGAGTGACTTCAGGCACTGAGACCAAACCGTACTCTTTGATACAATAGTCTCCGAACGCTCTTGACATTGCCAGTCCTGGATATTCCTCTTCTGGTTGCCACACACGGTGGACTCCTGGCTCGTCCTGGAGGCAGAACACTCGCCCGTTGCATCTTATTATACGCTCTTCCTCCTCTGTTTTTGAAAACAGAGCAAAAAACAGAATTTGAAAAGATAAAGATTTAGAATTGTTTCAGCAAAACGAACTGGGATTTAAATGACCAATTTATGCCTATGGAACTAACGGGGAAGATTTGGTTTGAAATCTACGGTGAGCTGAACCGGGACTAAGCTCCCTTCATCTGAAACCGTGGCCAATACCGCACGTGAATCCCCAACGTTTGCTATATAAATAACTTCACCCTGCAGCAAGAAAACCATTAAAGCAACGAACAGAGCAACCTTTTTATATTGATGAGATAATGATCTTGAAAGTCTCTTTACCTGTCTCACAACCGTTAAGGCAGTTGTGCCGCTGTTGAAAGAATCGATCTTTCGGTGATGCTCAAGCTCCCTATCAACAGCTTCACAAGTTTTGAGGTATGAGTATTTCCAGATGGCAAACCGCTGTAGTTTTTTATCGGATTCGTCTAGGTCTGTTTCGGGTTCTGCTAAAGTGGTCTGAGAAAGAGTCTCTTTCCAGTTGCAGAGCAAAGATATAGGCATTGAGTTTCTGACTTGTTTAGAAACAAAGTGTCCCCAGGGACCGTGTCCATCAAATATCCCACAGAAGATCATGTCCTCTTGATTTCCAAATCTCTGTTTACGAATCAAGAATATGGTTCAAAAGGATCATTCAAAACAAGCTAGAAGCAAACGCATACAAAGAAAATTGCGTGAAGTTAACATTTTTAAACTTCAATATGCTTTAAGTAAGCAAAAGAAGTGACCGAGAAATCGCTCTAAGTAATTTAGCTCTAAGATATTCCTCTAGAGATAGCTTTCTATAGAAGTAATTAACGTACATCCCAGACGATGGCACAGTCCTGATTAACGCCTTTCTCACCGCGTCTGGAGAAAACAGAAGCCAAGTTATTTGATCCATCTGCATTAATGCAACCAGAGGATCTCAGGATCAGCTCCTTCTTCTTCGCCTCTCTGGCCATTTCATCTGCGGCTTCCTTCGCGTAGCTTTGGCCGTTCTTGCTCTTCGCTTTCTTGATAGAGAAGGATCTAGCTAAGCCGTTGAACATGGAGGAGAGATGTCCCATTTTGTTCAGAAGGTGAAAGTATCATATGATCATGAACTCTACAACATGATAAATACATAGAGTCTCAGAGAGTTGCATTAAAACAAAGAGCAAGAGGGAGATAAAATAATGCACAAATAGGAAAATTTTCTCTAGAGATTCTTTTTTCCCGGGGAAAAAAACAGGAGATAAAAGATAATATGAGTAATTTAAAACAGTTATAAGGACAAAAAAAACAAAAAAAGATTGTAAGAGAATATTCAAGTATGACATGGAATTCCATTAACACAAGCTCTAATTAACATTCCTCTAGAGTTAGAATAAAATATATCTTGTATACGTACATATAAAAATTATAATTTGTATACGTAATATAGAGAGAACAATATAATGGATCTGATCTGAACTCGAAGCCAAATGGAGTTTTCTCTTTTAAGAAAAACATATCTGGAGATAACTTATTAGTATAGAAATCAAGTTGCAAGATTCGGAGATTTTCTCTTATTTACTTTTCCGGGAAAATAAGCAATAAAAAACTTCACAATCTAGAAATTGAAAAACTATTTTTTTTTTAGTACTTTCTTTTGCCTAATTTTTCTGTTATTGTTGTTGTTTTTGTGAGAAACAAGATTGCCAACGAATCCACGAGAGTTAGATCAGTTTTTCATAAAGTAAAAAAAGAAACTTCACTTACTCGATGCATATCCAAGTTCAAAGAGCAAATAATGCTAATAAGAAGTTCAATGAAAGGGTTTTATTGGAAAAAACTAGAAAATAAATTTTCTCACCTAGGAGCCCTCTCATATTCAAGAATCAAGATTCAAAGATTTGTTTTTAAAATAACATTTCGAATTGCACAAAAATGGTTTTCAAAAAGTAGAACAGGAACGTAAACAGTTAGAAAGAAGTGACGTAACACTCACCAGAGAGAGATGGCGTAATGCCGCTAAAGAATCAAATGTAGAGGAGTGAAGATCGGTCGATGACCTAAGCTCGGAGAAAGTGACGTAACCACCCTAAACCCGGAGAGGAAGCTAATGGGAGAAGAGAAAGAAAGAGATGCTCCAAAGATTCAAGCAAAAAGATAATCAAATAGAGCAAGGGAAGAAACGAAATTATTATATGTAATATATTTCTCTCTATTTGATTTCTGAGGTACTCTGTTTCCCTTTCATTCTTTCTTTTTTCCTAGACGCAGAGCTGTCTTTGCCTCTTTGGTCGTTCGTGGGTTATATACTTTTATATATCCTAAATTCCTAATGCAGTTATTGGTTAGGAAAAAAAATGATTTCTACAGTATGTGAAAACGAAGAATTAGAGAGTAAATTTGACTGCTCGTCTGATGTTTTAAGTTTGGACTAGGCTAGTAAACAGTAATGCCAATATGACAAAATGATCCGACTTAAATTGTATGATAAGATAACAATAATTAAAAAAAAAAAAGTATAATAAATTTGGAAAGTTAGGTAATTGGTATAAATTAGCCCATTTATTAAATGTAAAAGTCCAAAATGGCTACAGGTTGTTAAAAGCAAATGTCAATAACGAATCTACAAGGACTGTTTCGTGATTATATAACTACATATGAGTTTTCTGGTTGAACCAAATAGTAGTTTTTTTCACGTAAGTGACCAGTAAAATCATAATACCCCCTTTTATAATTGTTTCTTTTAATAATCTTTTGTAATTTTAGTAATACGAAAAGTCAGTTTCCGTAATGGGTAAAAAGCAGTCGAGAAAAGGAAATGGCTTTGGCCTTTGAGCACGCAGAACTAAATAATGTTCCGTAGATCATAGCCATACACGTTTAACATAATGATTCTAAAATAAGAAAAAAAAAAAAAGAAATGTTACAAGGTCCACGTTTGTATATATACCTACCTCGAAACTATAAAATCCCATAAGTTAAACCAAATTTTTTTTTGAGATTTTAAATCAAACATTGTCTTGTAACCAAAATAAAATAAAATCAACATTGTCTCTATATATCTCATGAGTCATGACTACCAAAACCATAAATAACGAGTACTTAGGTAGATTAAAATCTAAAGTCTACCATCTAACCCTACGAAACAAAAACAACATACTCTAAAGTCTAGAGGCTATCTAGTATCAAAAGAATCAAAAACCGTAACGTCACAGCTTTTGCAATAATAAGACGCCGTGACGAAACTGTACAAGAGAATATAGTCATGAGTGGGAGCCAATGCGATCGATGACTGTGTATGACCAGCATGTGCTGTTAGTCTTCTCATGGGAACCCACTGAGACTTATAAGTTTTTCTTTGGATCAAATCGGCTGTCACATTGTGGTTTCATGTGTCGGCAACGACGGTGCACACAACCAAAAATCTTTGCATTGACTCAATTATTTCGAAGTTCGAACTAAGAACACATTCAATTTCGCGAGAGACCCCATATTCAACGTGACCTAGAGAGTAGATACCACATATATGGCACGTCGTACGTGGGCGAGCCAAAGGATATAGAGGAGAACTTTCGGTTTGAGGGCCAGGCTCGGTCATAGAGAGTAACTCTTTTATTTGTTTGGTTAGAAAAGTTGAAATTGGCAAATAAGCCACGTGAGAACGACATTGATTAGTTCGGTCTTTGTGGGGTATTTTTCTTTTAGCGAGCACAATCTAGAAATTGGATCATACCATTCTTCTGGCTGACGCGTGGTGACCCAGCAATCACATGTGGGACGGTGCACAGGATAAAGACACTTTTTCTGAGTTTGTGTGCCGTGGCCTTCCCTCTCCACTCCCAAAATCTCAAATTCTTGTTTTTTTTTTTCCTTTCTTTTCTTTCCTTACTGGATCTAATAATAATCAATATAATCATTATATCTGTGACGACTTGGACCAAGTAAAATTCGGAAAGTGGAATAAATCTAGTATTTGAGTGGGTTTTAATTGGTTGGCTGTAAGAAAATGAAAATTCTTTACGATATCATATTTAACAAATCATTACGAGGCAATCATCTTTTTGTCCATTATCTTGTTCCTTTAAAAAAACAAAAAATTCAATTAGTTGCGCATTAGCTTCCTAAAATTTGGATTAAAATCAACTCAAGCAATGATTGGCCGTGCCAACACAAAAATGATTACGTATGAAGAAGAATAACAAGTGACATCAAGTGTTATTATTAATCGGAACAGTAGAAATATACTTAAGTTTTCACTATTTTCTTTTTTTTTTTTTTTTTTTTTTTTTTTTGTCGTCAAGTTTTCACTATTTTCTTTTAAGTAGCATTTACTTATTTATTTTTATTCTTACTTGTGACAGTTATCAATTATTCGTGACTTTTGACTTTTTGAATGATACACCAATTTCTGAAACATACGAGAAACTCCAATGTTTCAAACATATTGGATCGTATTGGAGGCCCATGATATTATAAATCTGTAAAAGCTGCTTCGACTACATGGTTTTGGTAGTTTGAATGTACCGGAGCAGCGTTCTAGACCGGTTGACCCAAGCTGTGGTTTTTATTAAACAGATCCAGTTTCGGGGCGGGTTCCCCTGTTTATCACTGAATCATAACAAGTCTGTGAATTTCCTCCGTGTTCGAATCTTTAATCTTTATCATTCCGTTTTTTTTCTTTGTGTTATTGTGTATCGATTTTTTATTATCTAATGGCTTGTTTTTCTTGCTAAAAGTAGTATTTGTTGTTTGTATGCTGGACCTTAAAAGCATCGATCGCAATTAGAGATATGTTTATTTATGACAATTAGCAGTTGAAATAAGCAGTTTTGTGAATCAGACAGAAGCAGAACAAATAAAAGCTAAACTGATCCACATTTAAAACTAAAAGTGGACATATCTGGGTTGTTTTCTCCCCAAGCTTCTTCTTTGCTCTCTAGTGTTACTCAGTTTGTTGCTTCATTCTCTTCTTCGATATACGTGGGCTTGTGTTTAAGAAGGCTATACAAACACATTATTACGTTAGTTTCATTTATCTTATGCATCGTCTCATCCAGATAATTTTATATACACGTACTTTTTTTATTCTTTCAGATTTAGAATATGTATTACCTCTTTTTTAAGCTTTGTGGATCTTGCGATGCTGCTTCTGCTTCGGCCTCTGCGTTTGTTTCCGTTAAAAGGGTTCATGAACCACTCTGGTTTGTAGCAAACCAGAATGTATCCAATCGTCAATCCTAAGGCAATACCAGGTCCGAATCCTATAGCAGCTGCTATCCAACTGAACACCTCTTCGTCTTCTTCCTCTGACTCCAACGGTTCATGTTGTTGTGGTGTTGGTGCATGAATATCTACACAAACTTCGTCAAGAGAAGGGCCATAAAGTCCGGGGTTATCCTTGAAAGAAGAGCAATTCTGCCTGCGAAACTGAGTTCCCCCTGGTACTAGACCTCCAAGCTGGTTGTGAGAGAAGTTCATGTAGGCAAGGTACGAGAGATTCCCTAGTTCTTGTGGAATTTCTCCTGAAAGCTTGTTTTGAGAAACGTCCAGTGACTCAAGCTCGCTCAGGTTTCCCATAGATGATGGGATGTGGCCAGTGAAAGCGTTGCTTGACAAGTTAAGAACATAAAGCTCTTTCAATAGACCTATGGATCTTGGAATCTCTCCTTCAAATTTGTTTTCAGAAAAATCGAGAGCTGTGTAGATATTTAGGATACGTACCAGCTCCATCTCTACACCTTTATTCATCAAAACCATTGAATCATGGTAATATCGAAAAGAATCTCCCATGTATTTTTCCTTAACACGATCTTCGTTTGCACCAAGTGATGACATTGCACTCCAGTTCTCAAAATAGTTTGATGGCAAAGTTCCATTGAAGTGATTACGCGATAAGTCAATGATTCGCAATGTACGAAACGAGGCATGATGTATCGGCCCGTGAAATGCATTGGAGCGTAGGACAAGAACTTGCATCTTTTTAAGAGTAGACAACCAGAATGGAAATGTGTCGTTGATTCCGTTGTTTTCCACATTCAGAACTTCAAGATTAGAGAAGCGGGTGAAAGATCTTGGAATTTTTCCCACCAGTTGGTTATGACCGACATCAAGTGACCTTAGACTCCTAAATATATTCTTTGGAAGACCACCACCAAGACGATTCTGACGAAGGTTTAGAAATGAAAGAGTACTCTTAAAATTTCCCATACAATGAGGGATTGTACCATTGAAGTTATTGCCAGATAAATCAAGAGTGATTAGAGACCGCAAAGCACATATGAAAGAGGGAATCTTTCCTGTGAAATTGTTTTTGGAGCCAACCAAGTACTGCATAGATGGTTTGGTGATAAAGGGTAGTCCAAGTTCCATTGGTCTTTCGAAACCGCTAAAAGTGTTGTTGGAAAGATTCACGAATATCAAACTTGGTAGTGTCCATAGCCAGCCAGGCACTTGACCTTTGATTTTGTTGTTGGAAATGTCTAGATTCGTCATTTTGTTTTGGCTTCTTAAGAGCTTCGGGAACTCAGTGATGCCGCATCCTGACAAGTACAGCTCGCTAATCAATTGCGAATGATGATAATCTACAGCTGAAGTTTTGCTTGTTACTGAAACATGGTTGCCTGAAAGATCCATTGAATAGATTGAGGCGAGATGCGAGGATAAGAGTGCATTCAAGTCAATCGTCGTGGTGGTGTTCAAATGAGATAGGTTAAGAAGTAGGAGCGACTTAAGATTCATGAAGATACTAAAGTCAACTGGGACTTGGGTGTTGAGATGAGAAAGGTCGAGGTCCTGAAGGTTTATAAATTTGGAAATGGATCTCGGGATCGGCCCCATGAAGTTGTTATTGCTTATGTCTAACACTGTTAGTGTAGCAGGTGAAGATATATTCCCAAAATCAAGACTGCCGTTCAGTTGGTTTTTTCTCAAATCAATAGACGTCAAAGAAGGAATAGCGAAAAAGGAAGAAGGTAGAGCACCGGTAAAAGCGTTGTCCCATGCCTCAAAGTACTCCAAGTTAGAGAGTGAGCTCATGTTAGAAGGAAGTGTGCCCGTGAACTGATTGCGGGAGAGTGATAAATCCGACAGCTGATTCAGATTGAGTAAGGAAAGGGGGAAGACACCAGTGAGTTCATTGGAATCAACATTTAGGTTGGTCAACTGGTTCATACTGCCAAAATATGGCATCTCACCAACGAACTCATTACCAGAAAGGTCGAGAAAAGTGAGATGTGAAAGATTTCCAATAGAAGAAGGAATCCAACTACTGAAATAATTTTTGGAAAGGTCGAGAGTGGTAAGATGAGAAAAATCTTCAATAGAAGACGGGATTTGGCCACTAAAATAATTATATGAAAGGTCGAGAGTAGTAAGAAAACGAAGATTATGAACTCTAAAGAGACTGGTATTAGAATGAAACTGGCCTTGGAGGCAGCTGCGACTAAGGTCTAGCCCAATCACTTCCCCGGTCTTGGCATTGCACGTAACACCGTCCCAATAAGTACAACAATCACTGTTATTCTCCCATGAGACTGTCTTCGGATGAAGGCCGTCAAAACAAGGCTTCTTAATCTCAAACTCTTTCTTGAGCTCAAGAAGTGCATCTCTTTGTTCGGGACGACACAAGTGTTCAGTGGCAACCCCAAACACATCTCGAAAATGTAAATTGAATAAGAAGATGAGAGAATAAAAAGTAAAAGGGATGATACTCGTTGAGTTCCAAGAGCGTTTCATCCTTCTTCAGGCTAATGAAGAAAAGAAAAAACAGAGAAAAATGGAGTTTGTGATGGTAACATTGGTTCCATGCTCATCTCTTTATACCTAGTAATAGACTACTCAACAAAGGTATATTCACTCAGCTTGACTCTTTACAATGGATGAGTCAAAGTCTTTGTGATTTGTTTCATATTAACAATGGTGAGGATTCGGTGTGGTTTGATATGACATTTACCGACATATCAATTTCAATAATTCAACATCTACACAAAAATACAAAAAAAAAGAAAAGAAAAAGAAAAGAAATTAACAGCAATGTTGTCTCCACTCTCCCACTAAAGCATGCGCTCGCTACCTTCCATGAATGTCTACGTATTACTGTTGTACGTTGCTATCTCCGCCGACGTCTTTCATTGCTGTGCCAACCCTCATCAACAACACAAACTAATCTATCAGGGCACTAAAACGGGCCTATGACCTACAATAGGCGGTCCAATCTGTGTAATACACGGGCTTTGATGATTTCTAAATATCAAAAAATTAACAATTGATTTTTTTTTGGTACAACCAAAGTGTAAAAACCTACAAAACTAGTATCGTGTAAATAAGGAATATCTTAATCCATGCTCCAAAGTCCCAAATCAGTGGGTTGAAAACAGAAAGATTACCTTAAGGTAAGTGACCCGGATAATTTAAGATGTTACATAATTTGGCTGTGTTACATTTTGATTGGAAACTTAAAATCGATATATCTACTAAAAATAGTAACATCATAATCGTTTTTTTTTGTTTTGTAACTTCAAACTTCCTAATCGTTTATTTCCCATTGATAGCACCTGATTAGAGACTAAACTTTAATAACCGTGGGATGCGTAAACATTCGGTACGTTCAACCACAGAGTATAACTGCCTCACGTGTTCACCAATCATACTAAAAATGAAAAAGTCAAAAAAGCCCAAAAGCAGCTGCAACTGCCACCAGAAGCGGCAGAGGGTAATATCGTCAATAGTTCCCACCTCCCCCAACGCGTATCCACTTCTTAACTTATAAAAACCAAATCAAAACACCTTTCCCCAATTTTGGCTTTATATTTCTCAAATTAAAAAAAAAAAAAAGTTGTAAATAAAGAGGAAAATAAGGCGGGGAAAAGGATCACGATTCACAAAATTAGTGGAAAAATCATAAGTGCTTCGTCTACTCCATCGGAGGTTCGTTTTTTTTTCTTCCGCTCGGTGTGTATGTATGTGTGTTTTTAGAAGCTGTAAATTGTTTTTTTTTCTTTTTTGTATTATTCAAACTTTTTTTTTTGTTGGTGTTTTGACTTTACAAAAAAAAAAAAAAAATCTTCTCTCTCTTTCTCTCTGTGGAGATTTGAGGAAAATTCATTTAATTGGTGTGTTCCCATGAGGTGATTTCTGCTTTTGGATAGATTTGATTTTTCTATAATAGGATCGGAATTTTAAATAGCATTTTCGGGTAACTGTAGAAGAATTTCTCTATGGTCGGAATCAAATCGAGAGCTTTGATGGTTTCCAATTATGTATCTTGATTTGTTGTTTGTTTTTGGGTTGATTCGCAGATCTGGTGTTCTGAATTCGACAAATTGAGTATTGAGATTTCTGGGTGATTTCGTCTAAATTGGTTAGGCTATATAAATTTCAGGACGAAACGAGCGGAGACAATCACAGGATCATTGTTTATTCTTTGGTCATGAGTTTAGAGGGGGTTTAGATTTAGATCAGTGTTTTTTTTTTTTTTTTGTTTCTATTATTAACCTTTAAAATTCAGGAGCATATGGGAAAGAGAAACACGTTCTGGGCTAGAAATTCGAATACAAGGGTTAGATCTAAGGATAAGGGTTCTGATGAATCAGATGAGGATTATGTGATTTCGGAAGAGGATGAAGAAGAATCTGAGGCTGACCTCAAGGAGGAGTATGCCTCATCTCTAGACGGTGAACCATCCTTTGATGGTTTTGGTGGGTCTGATGCCCTGGAGGATGAGGAATTTGATGAGCTGGAAGAGGAAGATGTGATGCTGAGGAATGTTGAGTGGCCAAAAGTCAAAACTGGTCCTCGCGGGAATCGGAAAATCACTGGATGTAAGTCCAGAAACACCAACCAGGTTCTATCTGACAATGAAGATGTAGATCTCGACGATGCAGATGATGACGAGGAGGACATCAGGAATTCTATGCAGGCTGTTGGAAAAGTTGGGTCTTTGGATGGAGAGAAACACCAACGAATAGGTTTAGGAAAGCGAAGGAGAGTTTTCTATGAGATTGAGGATGAAGATGGAGACTATCCAGAGGAGGATGGCGAGGAAGACGAAGAGAGGGATGTGCAAAATGTCAGGTGTGAAAATGTGGATTTAAATTCTTTGCATGATGCTGAAGATGGAAAGATGGCATTGGAAGAGCAGGACAATGTGTCACACGAGACAGAAAAGGAAGATGATGGAGATTATGAGGATGAGGATGGCGATGAAGATTTTACAGATGAAGATGTATCATTAGACGAGGAAGAGGAGGAAGAAACAATTGCATGTAACAAAACCTCACTCAAGGTTGGTAAGAAATACAAGCAAAAGCGAAGATCTGGATTAGGGCGTAAAAGAAGAAAGAAATGCTCTGTTGCTAAAGCCCCTTTAACAAGGGGAAGAAAGAGACGTGGGAAAAACACAAAGAAAGGAGTTGATGAAGATGAAGATGATGGTGATGGTGATTTTGTAGATGACTCTCTACCTGCAAGAAAAAAGGCAAGGACAAAATCATCAAGGTCAAGGCGTCGCTCTACCGTGCCATCAGATTCAGACATTGCATCCTCTGGAGAATCTGATTATGAGTACACAATCTCGGAGGAGGAAAGAGAGCAGATAAGAGAGGCCGGTAGTTTGTTGAGAAGTAGTGTGAAGCATGCATCATCTATAAGACAAACCACAGTCAAGAAGGATTTACCTCAGCTTCGTAAGTCTCCTGTGAAGAAAGGTGAAAAGAAAGTAGAGCTTGTTAAAAGAGATGTGATAAAAAACGTTTGTGGGATTTGTCTGTCTGAGGAAGACATGCGAAGATTGAAGGGAACATTGGACTGCTGTAGCCACTACTTTTGCTTCACTTGCATAATGGAGTGGTCGAAAGTAGAATCTCGCTGCCCACTCTGCAAACAGCGGTTCAGAACAATCAGTAAGCCTGCAAGATCTACACCTGGAGTAGATTTGAGAGAAGTTGTGATACCTGTACCTGAACGTGATCAGGTTTGTTTTTGCTACTCTTTCTATTGCTGTACGCCTATAATGTTTTAGTTATTTATACTGGTATCCTCATGAATGTTGGTTGTGGTCTTCTTTCCAAATACGTCCAGTTATGTCCTTCGACACTCCACATTTGAGGTCCAAATAGACATTCCTTCTTGTCGCAGTTTAACAAGTCAATACATAATAGTTACCAGTAACATCAGTTTTCTCACTTTAATCCTTCAGATGCATGATAGACGAGAGACCTTATCAACTTTTGTTAACATATGGACGTGGTTGTATTATGTTTTATGTTACTTCTTGTGTGATAAATTTTCTTATGCGGGATTTTACTGTGTGCAGGTCTATCAACCTACTGAAGAAGAGTTGAGGAGTTATCTCGATCCCTATGAAAATATAATATGCACGGAATGTCACCAAGGTGATGATGATGGGCTTATGTTGCTTTGTGATCTTTGTGATTCATCTGCCCATACCTACTGTGTTGGTCTTGGGAGGGAAGTACCTGAAGGAAACTGGTACTGTGAAGGTTGTAGACCTGTTGCACTTGGATCAGCTAGTTCCCAAACGCATATTACATCCGAGCAACAAAGGGTTAGTGGCTTTTACAGTAGACCGTCACCTCCTGTAGTTTCAGGGCAATATCAAGATATGTCTTTGCTAGTCACTCCACGGACACCATTTTTCAATGGAGAAAACTTATTTTCTCCCAGGCTTCCCAATGGTGATGTTCATGGTTCTTCTCCATCCGGCTTAGGGGCAACCACATTATCAAGAAGAAGAACGCTTCACAGACACATACAAAATATTATCAACAGTGATAGACTTATTAATATGGGTGCTAGAACTGGTGGAACATCGATTGCTAACTCGAGTGATGGTTTCATGACTACACAAATAGGTCATAGCCAAACAATTGACCTGTCTCAGCCTGCAGTGAGCCAAGAAACAGGGGCGTCATTGTATACAATATCTGAGGAAAGACTACCCAACAACAATTCATTGATTTCTGCCCATGACCCTGAGCTTTTGTCTCCAAAGTTAGATGAATTTGGAAGCCAAGGAGTATTCAGACGTTTGTCTAATGATACATTTCTTGGCGAGCGACCTATCGATTTAGGATTCGATCATGGACTGGCTCAGGGTGATCCCTTGTTTAGTAATCAACAACATCTACACAGCTACATGCCAAATACAATGTCTTCCATGGGAGGAGAACGACTGCAACAAAGAGTTAAAGCCCATCTCAAAAACTTGTCCAGTAAAATCGACTTAGGTACACATAATCCAATTCCCTCTTCAAGCTTTTGGTTTAACCTGACTAGTACATACTGCTACTCTATGCTTTACGTGTTAGTCTGTTTCCAGTTTCTAAATGTGAACCGGAGCCTTTAGGGATTTTTTTATATCTAGTGGTTTAGTTTAAATTTGGAGCTAGGGGCACAATTTGATTGACGTTTGTGTCACCTTCTTGGATTAGTTCTTCTCTGCATGACAGAAGTTTAGACAGTTTTGGATTGTAGCTACATATTCAATGTTGAGTATGGCTTTAGGCACGCATCTACGAATACGACTTGTTAAATCTCTGGATTTGCTTCTTCTTTGCATAAGTCCACCCTTAAAGACAAAAGTTAGATTCAATTCTTATCTGCCCTCTGATTGTAGTGTTTTGGGTACTCGTCATCTGTTTTGTTCAGGTCAAACTACGTTCGACGAGATTTCCACGTGCTCAATACACACGATACTGGCAGCTTGTGAACTTGAACACAAGAGCAGTGAAGTCCATCTCGTCCCGCCACCAGTGACGTGTACTCACCATCATATGACACCTGGCAGCAGCAGCAGGAGTAGTAACAGCAGTAGCCTGATGAAAGGGTGTTGCTATTCTTGTTTTGATTCATTTGTAGAAGATGTAGTTAAGATGATTCTAGACACAAGACAACCCCATTGGTTGAGTCTAGGGCTCCATTAAACCACTTGCTTCAATTGTTTAGATTGTTAGGAAATTAAATTTCTTTTTTTCTTGTCTTTTTTCCTGAACTTGTTTAGCATTGTATATGATACAGGTGAGATTATTTTCATTGAAAAAAAAGAATTAACTTTTTTTATGTTACATTGTTTATTGACTTACCATGTACAGTCCAATAAAAACAAAAACAGCTTTTTAATATATGAAAAGCTTATCAACTTGGATACAATTACAAACCATAGATCTTATAAAAAAAAGTTTCCTTATCATGAAGTACGGCACGCATTTCATAAAATGTAACCGAAAACGACACGCTGTTCACGTCTACAAAGTGAGAAAACGGCGAAAAGTGTGGAACTTGGGAAAATGTCCCACATCGGAAACAAGAAACGAAGGAGGCTCCTGAAATAGAGTATAAAAGAGAGACTGATGGCGAAGAGCAAATCACTTACCTGGACGGGGTCAACTCGCGATCAAGAAGTCGAGTGGCCTAGGCTAGTGACTTCCATTGCACACTAAGGAAGGGTGCTATGCTTAAGGTCTTCCCAAGAGGAAGAGCCTACGTCATTATTTGTGGCAGCGGGGGTTTGCGTTCGCGCAGCCCCTACCATTTCTCTCAGTCTTCAATCTTTTATTTCACCGAATTGGTTCTTGAGTCAATAGAGAAACATGTAAACCAAAGTTAAGAGAGACTCTTGTTTCCTCATGGTTATTTACCTAGTGACAATGTTAGACGTTTGGCATATAATCAAAAGCTTAATGATCTATTATTGGACCTGAGTTCCGTGATCTAGTTTAAGAGAAAACATCCTACAGATCTCTTAGTGATTAAAGGACAAGATCTTTGTCACCAGTATTTACAGATTTGTGGAATCAGCCAATGGATAATATGAAGGATTTGGCAGAGAACACACAAAAAGGGTTAATAGACACCTACAGACACAAAAAAAGGTTCTTCTTCTCTCTGGAAATGAGTTAAGACATGCCGTTCTCTTCCTCTTCGCCCCCGAGTAAACCCAACCTTCTCTTCGCGACTTTCGATCTGTAACACCAAACCTCGAAAGCTTCTGTTAAATCCGGATACAACCCATTCTTGCTTAACCATTCAGTCAATATCTCAGCTTGGTCTGCAGATGGCAATGCCAGAATTATCGATACAAAAGAAGATTCTAAAGCTTGCCATATCTCTCCATCAATTTTTTGTCTCACAGATCCATTCTCCTCATCTTCCGTAACCACTGAGTCAACAAGAGGCTTTGTGTTTCTTACAAACGGAAGCCATAGTTTTACCATCTGGAGCCGTTTCGCTGTTGGTAATATCACTGTTCCATAACCGATCGCCTCTACGACTTTTGAGGTCACCTCGATGACCTTAACTCTTATCTCAATCGTCTCTGCAACTGATGTTTCCAACTGCTCAACTACCTTGACTAACTTCTCAGATGTGTCAACCCATGTTACTACAAAATCTCTAACCACTTCCATCTTTGTTAATATCTGAAAAGCCCATGACAAATCCGATAGAACCATCCTAAAAGACCCTTTCTGGCTAATAGCCTCAGACTCGAGGGGTTTGAAAGAGATCGCTTCTAGACATTGGAAGAATCTAACAAACAGACTCTTTACACATTCTTTTACTTCAAGCTTGATTTCTTCATCAGCTATCAACAATGGTGCATCGTCATCTTCGGTTATCATATACTCAATTTGTTCTTGAGCCGAGGATTTTATGTCGCCCAAGGGCAAAAGCGGGGACGAAGTAGCAAACCTAAAAGCCGATACAAAGATTTCAGTAACAGCGGATTGATCAACAGGTTGGAGGCGGGCAAGAATAGGCTCTGCTTCTGATCCAATTCTCGGTACAATCCGCAGAATCTCTTCCTCTTCGCCTTCTTCCCATGGAACAGCTTCCAAGTACTTTACACAAGCAGTGACAATCTGCGGGCAGCTAAGTTCTTTAGCGACGCAGAGGATCCCCAACGCACTTTTCACATTATGACACAGGTTATCCTCATGGACATCATCAGAGACAACATAGAGAAGTCTTAAGAGATTGATATGATGATCATAGTCTGATTCTTGACAGATGACTTCAACACAGTAACGTGAATCAAGTATCTTGCAAGTAGGCCATTTATCAGAGAGACGGTCAGCGAAATACTGGCTTTTCTCACTAAGGATCTTGCAATGGCAATAGATCCAATCATCCCGGCCTTCTTCGTTTCTTAGCCTAACAACTATGTCACTGCTGGATCGATCACCAAATGTATATGAAGCCTGGGCTTGATTATCCTGTGGAAAGACAAAAACCAAGAGGAACATTTCAGCAATTAAACCTTTTTCAATAACAAAAACCCACAAATCAGTAAATCATTATTGTTTAGTATATACTTACACGAGGCTCCATAGAGCAAAAGCTGGAATTTTATGTATTTCAGTACCTGAATAGAGATAAACACCAACAAAAATGCAAGTTCACTAAAACGAATATAGAAAGCAAGCAACTTTCCAATTACGACGAATTGATTAGTACTCAGTACTAACTCTGCCCTAGAAATAGAAAGACATTATCTTTTTTTTTTTTCTTTTGCTAAATTTATCAGAGAGAGAACAGTACCCTAAATGTTGAATCTTTCAAAATTCTCAGTAGCGGTACTTGCTCCAAGAGAGGTAAACAAAACCTACAGCTTTAAACTTTTGCATCTACGGACAACCCCTGGTAACATCCAAACTCCACCCGATCTCTTTCGATCTCTCTCTCTTCTCTACAGTTTTCTTTCTTTTACTTCGTTGGTACAAAGATCTTTTCAACGCCTACTTGATGATGTGTGTCTCAGAAATCTGCTGGGCTCAAGGACAAATCATTCTTCTTTTTCTAAGTTTTTCATTCACATTCGCCTTTGTATAATCTTGTTGGGTCACTTATTGGGGTCGATTTCAAATGTTAGTTTGGGTCTTTAAGGCCCTCTTCAAGTTCTATTGATTTTTGTCACGTTAATTCCTTCGATTATTGTGTTATGTATGTTTGTTACATTTTGTTAAAAGATGATAAAATGTAAGCTTACCAGATATAGTCAGATAGAGGGCTTTGTTGCTTTCAAAAAATGCTAAGACGAGAACTTGCAGAGGAGTTTCTTTTCTTGCTAATGTACATGAATTTGATGACTAAAACAACAACAGAAAGCGATACCGACTGATTACCGCTTTCGTCTACATATCAACTGAAACAATGTACATGTTATTAAATATTACAGAAATAGAAAAGTAACTAGTAAGCCAAGGGATGTATATGCTGAAAAGTCTCTATCTTCTCTCATAGCTGCCCAAGTTTTTCCTGTCACAACCAACAAGAGAACAAACCCCATTTCAGTCTAACTCGACCATAAACATAAAAGATTGATGATGCTTTCAAAATAGCACATAAAAACAGGTAAAATAAGCAAACGGATCGGTTTAGAAAACAACCTGAAGCATCTGCATTAACTTTGGATGTTGCTCCAGAAGCTGACACAGCTTGTCGCGGTCACTTAATAAAGACTGAAGAGAAGTTTCAAGAATTCTGGTGAGCTGTGGCACGCAATACTACTAAACAAAACAAAACCAACAATGTGGATTACAAACCTGAATGGCTTCAGGGGACTTAAAGTAATCCTGTAACGACATTCCAGATTCTTGTTGCTGGGAAGTCCCAGCTCCTTGCTGACCTTGAACAGCGTGATGCTGTGGCTGTTGCTGTACCTGAGAGATCTCTTGCTGTTGAGGAGGGTGATAGTAAGACTGGACTTGCGTCTGTTGCATCATCTGCATCTGATGCATTGGAATCTGAAATGGATTTTGCATTGATACACCTTGCTCTGATGGTGTAGATATCTGTATGGGTGGTCTGACATGCTGAGGAGGCTGCATAGGGCGCTGTAACTGTGAAAGCTGCATTGATGGCAGCTGAGGGATGGACTGTGGATTGAGTGATTGAGGAATGGAGGGAACCGACAACATAGTTTGCTGCTTATCACCTCCTTGATGCGAAGGATTTCCATAGAATGGCACAGGGAGAGATGATGGTCTGCTAAAATTATGGGATGACATTAAAGTGGGGGGAGGGTAAGAGGTCATTCCAGTAGCTGAAATAGATAAATTGCCAGACTGATGATCAATCGCTGGACCACTCTGTTGTTGTTCAGTGGTACCAGTGCCTGCCTGGTTGTATCCAAAAGATTGAATTGTAGAAGTCCTTGGTGGTAACGAGGCATATGGGTTAGATGAGTATTGGGGAATTGCTGAAGGGAGCTGTGGCATAAGACGGATGGGTCCTCCTGAAGATTGTGTTCCATGACTAATGAACGGGGAGGATTGATTAGGAAGAGAATCAGAAGAATGTGGTATCCCAGGTGAGACTGATGGAGGTGGCACTAGGGGTAAAGGAGGCTGGTTTGACATCGCTTTCTGTTCATAAATCCCCCGACCACTGAATCCACCATGAATATGGCTCGTATGTTGCTGACTACTCTTTGAATAGAATCCCTGAGGACCCACTCTAGGATCAATCAAATTTTGTCCTGAAGATCCTGGCATGTTGTAAGCAGGTACAAACCCAGATTCAGATATGCCGGCGCTCTTCAGAGGAGTCATTTTCTTTGATTCATCTGCTTGCTCAACAAATTTTCTATCTGAAGAAATGCTTGGTTCCCGAATCAATGACATCTCAGGGCGTGAAACTGAAACCCTTGATGAAAATTCGCTCTGAGCATTTTCGTCAACATTAGATGCCACTGGTGTGCCCATGTGAGAGAACTGACTACTTCCATTTGCATCACTCTCGGTTTCTTCAACAATGGAGTGAGGAGAGTTTTGTTCAACCATGACAGGAGCAGGCTGCATAAGGTTCTCATCGGGCTGAAGAAAGGGCAACTTGTCATCAGGTCCTTCACATTCCTCACCATCAAAAACTATATCTATTCCTTGTAGATCATCATCAGGATCGGCTTTGAATTGTTTAGGTTTACCTGCAACTTTTTCAGTATCTCTAGCAGGAGTAGGATTTTTCACTTGCACAACAGCCTCTCCAACCACAATTGGGGAGGCATTTTGACCACGCTCTCTCTGTCTGGCCATAAACTCATCAACATGAATAGATGGAGGTCTACCACTGCTAGATCCTCCTCGAGAAATGGTTATTGCATTAGAATTACCAGCTGTATCAACACTCCTTTCCCTAGCAACATAATCATCTACATGCATAGAGGGAGGCCTGCTGGTATTCGGCTTGCGCTGCCTAAAGGTATCTCTACGTGTAGGAGCAGGAGGAAGAGATACAGAACCCATCCCCCTTTGAACTGAGTTTTGGGTCGGTATGTCAACAGAAGAGTTTTCGCCTTTAGCACGCCTGCTAGAGCTCTCCAAAGTTGGTGGTTTCCTTTTCGCAGGGAGAGATGACTGGGGCAAACGCTCAGGTAATGTTTCTGGACATTCCCACCAGAACTTGTCTTCAAGTCCTCTTTGATAAAGATCATCCTCAATCTTTTCAGAGTCCAAATCATCCATATCGAAATCCCCAGGAGAATTAAGAACACCTTTACAGGAGATAATATCATCAATATTCCCGTCTTTTAGCAATGACAGCAACGACCGTGATGCCTTCAATTCCAGAAAGAGAATACGGAAGTCAGTGTTAAGAGTTAAACGACAAAAGAACTAGATGATGCAAGAAACATCAGGCATTAGGTAGTATGTACCTCAGGCAAATAAGGTTTCATCTCAACTGTTGCTGAACTATCAGATCCCAAAGTCATTGAACTCAACAGTGTCACCATTTGTTCTATCAAACCAATGTTTTTCTCTCTATAAGTGTCTGTACCACTAAACTCATTTGGAAGGCAAAAGAGAGCTTTTAATCCTGCAACCTTCTTCGAGTCCAAACTGGAAAAATGAAGAAAATTAGACTCCAGAGAGTTCAATTAGTGTGTTAAATGTGTAAAATGAATGGTTTGGTATACTAGTTGGAAAAAACTAGATTAACTAAGCACATCTTCGCATGCACCAACTTAAACTAAGCGGCATTGGCGGACATGGCCATACAAAGACACTCGCCTATCCAAGTAAAACAAATCCTATCATATTCCGGTTAAATTGGGTGAGCAAGAATTTAGTAGATTATGAAAAGTCTGGAAGTCACCTTTTACCATCAAGGCATAATCTGATAGAGCCCACGCTCAGCACATTTACTGCCTTAATTGCAAGACTAGACAAACCATCTTTTGAATTAATTGAGTTCAATAACTTGATCCAGCAAGACAGGAAAGGGGGATTTTTCTTCATTTCTTGTTTCTCAAGACTCGAATTATTAGTATCACACCACCTTTCAGATACAGGTTCTTCAGCATCAGAAAACAGATGGAACAAAAGTGACACAAGACCATCTTGACCTACACCACATGAGATCAGGTCTTTGAAAGCGCAAAGACAAGATAATAGCTCATTGCCAATGGGCAACACCTGTAAAAAAACAAATTTACTTCGTAATCATAAATTGGTAAGAAAATATTACAGAAATATCTATTAGAAGAGCTCATGATATTTAGATATTTATTACCACAAACAATCAAATAACCCATAGCATTTTAGATGCATTAAATTCACCATATTTCCTAAGGGACTAGACAAGCAACATAAGAAGAACACTAACATAATAGCATCTGGAAAACAATAGATAAACAAAGATATAACTACATCGTTGACAACAATTAGTATACCTGACAGAACTTCAGCACAAAAGGAAAAATCAATGCACAATCTTCAGCACTCAAACTGGCCATTCTGTAAAAGTTAATAGAACATAAAATCAGTTCGATACAAATGTGATCTAGATAAAGTAATACTAGTACAATTAGGTTATGTTATATAAACGCACCCAAAAAATGGGAACATTAAGCACTCCTGCAGAAAAAACACTTACAGTTCTTTTTTCTGAAAGCATGAGAGAGGCCCTTGTGAATCACAGAGGAGTGAAATTGATCTGAAAGCTGGAATACACCACTGAATCACACTAGACTCGGACACAATTCCATACTCTAGAACCCTGTTTTCACTTGGATAAGTGGCATCATAACATCTTTCCAGAACTTCCACAAGCAGTTGAACAATACCCTCTTCTAACAGAAATCCCTGAAGTGAATAAATTTCAGGTGAAAAGAAACAAAAAAAAAAAGTGGAGGAAAAATATGATCATAAGGTAAAGAGTATGACCTTAGCATGCGGATGCTCTAATAGAGTAGCCAAAAAATTAAGATATCGGTAGACCTGAAAGAGAGAAATTAGACTGGTTAGTAGCAGCAGTACATAGACAGTCAGTTAGAGAGGCCGAACAAACACCATATAAGCTTCAGTATCTCTTGTTGATGACTGATCCAAAATACCCTCTCTGATAGATGAAAATATGGGCCGCAGAAGAATAGAAGCATGTTCAACCCTTTGACATGCAATACGAACTATGAAAACCCGAAGCATATCCTGAATGACCACCAATGCCTGTTTGAAAATAAGACAAAGTCGAATTATGCTGTAGATGATAACAAAAGCAAAAGCAGCAGAGAAACACTGGATATACAAGAACATACCGATACTGCATGATGTTGGATAATCTTTGCAATCTTGTCAAGATTAGGTGTCAAATGGTTTATCAGCTTTTCAAGTGGACCAGGCTCCAGATACCAGTTGATCTGTTTTTCCTTCAGTGGACCCATCAATGTCCCAACCGCCAACTTTCTGAGACCACTTAATAAGGGCATGCCACTCTTCCAAAACCAGACTCCTTCTTCGGGGAGAATATCGATCTTCAATGAGAAACACATGTAGAATAAAGTATTAGACAATAAATGGAGATCTTCTAGTTGTCAACACAAAAACCATGAATAAAATATCATCACAAACGTTCAGATGAGTCGCAACTATTTGGGTGGAAATATTTGTTGAAATTCTCGAAATTATATACTGTAAATAATGCAAGCCATCACAACCACCAAGTAAAAATAATTAGCAGAATTGTAAAATTTCCATACTAAAATGCAGAGGAAACTACAGGT